TTTTAAAATAAATAATTTTTAAATTCGTAAATCTTAAAGAAAAAACTTGACGAGAAATTTGTTACCCAATAAATTGATTTCTTTTAAGAATTTTTAAAAAGTGAAAATGAATTTTGGGAAAATCAGCTTCTTCCAATCAATCTGTTGACATGAAACAGAGATTTGTGTTATTTAGGTAAACAATAAGAGGGCTTGTTATTGGAATAAAAGGTGATAATATACAAAATTGTTTATTTTCTTCATCAAAAAAGATATTAAAAGAAAGGTTAAATGTGTTTTTATTATATAACTAGTTATTATATATTAAAGTAAAAGAAAGTTGACTAAAGAAATCTGATATTACGTAATTTAGAATCTTAAATGATTTATAATTTTATATAATATTTTATTTTATTTTTACTTTTATTTAATGTAAAACTTAGATTCATATTCATTTTATTATCTATTTAAAGATTCACACTTCATATCTTGATAATATAAATTTTAAAATTTAAGAGTTTTGGAACGTTAAACTTTCTTTGTATATAGTTTAGAGATATTAAAAGGAAATTGAATGGAATTTGTCCTTGTTGTTTGGTGCATTGAGCTTATATTCTCTTTGCTCTGCAGCTTTACATTATTTGCATCCCTCACTTCTCTGCTATCACCAACATTTAACCATCAAAAGGGGACCCCTTTTTATTTTGTACTTCCCCCTCAATTTTATCCAATAATCCAAATATAAATATTTTATAAAAGAAAAAATATTTCAACATATATTATTTTACACGTTTTATTTTTTTACATTGTTATTATAGAGACGTACTCTAAATTTAATATAAAAAGTTAATACATAATATCGAAATATTATAAAAAATATATACTAATATATCATTATCTTTTATAAAAATAAAACATTTTTTACGCACCAAAAATTGTTTATACAAAAAGTTAAGTTTAAATATAAGATTATTTTTAGTGGGTTGAGATTATGTGTAGTGAATTTAATTGAGATGTAAAATTTGTTTTGTTTGAAAATTTATTAATGAGGTTCGCGTAGGTTCTGTTCTCCCTGGCATTGCCAGCTCAGCCACTGAATGCTTGGTGTACTTGCTACGCCAACTTGTGAATTCAATTTTATATATCTATATATATATATATATATATATATATATATAGATAATAATACTTTGATAACATTTTTTTGACAACATTTTAACATTATTTACGTGTTATTATGTGATTGGTCTATATTGATGTTTATGATTATTCTTATTGATTGTGGAATAATTTTGGATCAATCACAGAATAACACGTAGATAATATTAAAATGTTGTCAAAATATCATTGTGATATGTATTAATATGTGTCCCACTGTCTCTCTCTCCCCTTTCATTTCTCTTTCCTTCTATCAAATTAAATGTTCCAAAAGGTGTTCACATCTGACAACATATTTTTGATTGCACAATTGAGAATAAAGGTGCGAAGGAAACTTTTACCTTTTTATTATGATTTCAATGAGATGTATTTTAGGGTTTGTTGGTTTAGTGAGGGTGCTGAAAGAAAAAATGGTGGTGCAAAAGGAAAAGCCCAAGAATAAAATGACGGGAGGAATGGGCCATAACTAAAGGAATCAAAAACAGAAATGACGTTATTCCTCCTATGACATTATTGGGCTTTCTTGTTCCTCTTTGTGTTTAATCGGTTTGAACCTCTTAAAGAGTTTATAATTGTTCTTCATTCAAATATTCAAGATTAGATCAGTTCCTCAGAAAATAAAATTCAAACGTTTGATTGAATTGGTCCTCTTTGCATTTTAAGAAAAAAAAGTTCAAGCCGTATTAATATCAAATGATACAATTTATTTTTCAATGTCAAATATAAACAAATAAGTTATAATTTTATAAATATCAAATAGTAATTAAATAAAAGAAAGAATTATAAAAAATAATAATTAAATGTGTGTCTTAAAAATAAATTAAAAAAATCAAAACAAAAATAGAATTCATATAATTTTTTTGTATAGTTTGAAAAATTAAAGAAATTTTATTAATTCAAAACATAATGATTATGAAAATAGAGATGGAATTTGTGAGATAAGGTCTAAGAAACGTGAAATTGGTAAGACAATGAGTGTGATGATAATGACGAAGAAACATGAAAGTTGGGAGTTTTCATAAACTTTAACAATATTTTTATCACAATATTTTAACATGTCATTTTATAATTAGTTCAAAATTACTTTATAATCAATAATAATAATCATAAACACGAACCAATTATATAATAATATGTAAATAATATTAAAGTGTTGTTAAAAAATATCGTTAAAATATTATTATCCTTTCCATAAAGTTGCAAAAGTTGATAGAGAGTGTCGTATTGTAATGAAATGGAAACATTATGGAACACGGTACAACCATTGTTTATTAATTAATATTATCAGAGGCATCAAATTCTATGCTAATTACGTGTGAAGACCAAACAAAAGTCAATATATGCTGCATGCATTCCTTATAATATTCTATTAATGACAACATTTAACACCTAAAGTATCTATTTATTATCTGTCTTGTTTAAAAGGTATCTTTTTGTATTGGTGGGTTGTTTTTTATCTTTTTAATTTACACGTATACATGGATATATATAAGGACATTTATAATTTTTCAAAATTAAACTATTTAAAAATATTATTTAAAATATAAACTTAAATAGACACGTGATTTTAAAATATAATTGAAATAATGTTATATAATAAAATATTTATAACAACAAATTTAAATAAGTTAAATTTTATAGTGTAGTTTTTTTTAATAAATTTAATTTTACAAGTCTAAATAAAATTATATATACATAAAATTAAACTATAAATATTTATCAATATTTCTCTTACCAATAATTCATTTTTTAAATATATAAAAAATCACTAAAATAGATAAAATATATTGAGGTTAAATACAATATTTAAGCATTTTAAAGAAGTTGTATTTTAGAAAATTTGACATCGACAACTTATAAGTTAAATTAAACAAAATATTATGATACTATCTTTAGTTATGATTTTATATTTGTAAATTTTTTTTATGGGTTTACCTTTTTCATAACATTAAATTTAAGTAAAAAAAAAATTATGAAAAAGGCTTAAATTCATGGTTAGATTATAACTAAAAATACCTTTTTAATGCATTCCATTTATTTTTACATATCTAGTTGATTGTTATTCTATTTTTTAAAAGCAGAAAGAAAATAATATATATCTTGCAATATTTTTAATAATTCCTTTTTTTTTTGTTATATTTTATCACAATTTTTCCCTTTTTTAATTTCTTGTTCTCCTGACACGATTATGAAATGCAACTTGTAGTCAAAAAGATGTTTCATCATTGGATCCTATGTTGCACAGAAAAGTAACATTTACATGCCTCATAAGATCAGAATAGCAGTTAAACTGTTTCTAACAAAAGGAAAACGCTAATTAATTATAATTAATTACCCTAATCCCGGTCCAAGACAGAGGATGTGAATTAGTAAACTTCACTGCTGTCTTTATTCTTCTTTTGTTATTCCCAAAAAACTTTAATTTCTTCGTTCGCACTGGTTTAAGATACCCCCACATGCTACAATTCTTCCAACCAAAACATCACATCTAAAGCTATCTTATCCTTAATTTATAGGCAAAGTAAACCATTACCACACACACTATACTTCTACCATAATACATAAAATCATCTATTCTACATACTAACATTTAATATATGGATTATCTATATATACATATCATATTATTAATACAATCATTTTTTATCAATTATTAAACTTTCTCTAAAAAAAATTACATCATCATAATAAGCTATTATTTTTTGTGGGAAAAAAAGTGAATATCTTCGTTCTAATAACCATAAATTATGTGTTATAAATATACATTCTATTATTTTTTATAAAAGAAAAATTCCGACTCTCTTTAGGGTTGAGATCAAGGCCCAAAGAGCGTCTAAGAGTAGCCCAGCGGCCCAAATCACATAACAGTTAGACATGGAATTTCACAAAATGAAATGCATACAATGGAATTTTTCTTTGGAAAATGTTATTTGGACAACAAAAATTTGACACAATTTTGACAACGGCGACGTGGCAGCTGTGCATTGGCTCAGTGAATTGAAAACAAACCAGAAAAAACCCAAAATACCCCTCACCCCGGTTCACTGAGCCAATGCACAGCTGCCACGTCGCCGTTGTCAAAATTGTGTCAAACTTTTGTTGTCAAAATAACATTTTCCTTTTTCTTTTAATATCAATCATCTGAAAATCAAGAAAAGAAAAAACCATGCATAGATGAGCTTAGCACCACCACCATGGAGGAAAGGCGCCGAGTATAAAAGAAAAACAAAATGATATTTTGACAATTTCTTTTTTAACAATTTTTTTAACAATAGATTATGTGTCATTATTTTATTGGTTGGTACATTTTAAACAGATTAATCACATCATAAAAAAATATTCGTTAAAAAAATTGTACTCATAAAAAAATGTTCGTTAAAAAAATTGTACTCCTTTTTATTTTATTACCAAATATATATATATACATATATATATATATATATATATATATATATATATATATATTTTATATATTTCAAAAGACATGTTACTGATATTTGAAGACAAACACATAACAAAAAACACTTTTGACACGCTGACTTTATATATCTGTCTCAAACAGAACCAATAATTGGAAGTTTGAGAACATGGAAAGCAAAGACATGTAAACTGTTGAAGATTCACACTCACATTCAACCGATTCACTCTCTAAAGCCATTGCTTATACTGCATTTTGTCTCCAACCCTTCAATTTGCCTTTCCCTTATTCTAACACATCACTTTTTCTTTCTGGTATGTTTGCCTAGTGCTTCCGTGACGTGGATTTTACTTCAACCCAGAATCGATTCTCATGCCATGCCGTACCGCTATTTTAAAACTCGACCAAAGTGCACAGCATTATATAAATAATAATACTTTGGTTACAATAATTTTTGAACAAAGAGAAGAAGCTTATGCATTTTCGAGAAAAGAGAAGATGCAAAGAGGAACAGAAGGAGAAGAAGAAGCAGTGTCAAGGGGTTCTAAGTGCCGAGACTGTGGGAATCAAGCCAAGAAGGAATGTTTGTATTCAAGATGCAGAACTTGTTGCAAGAACAAAGGCTTTAATTGCCAAACCCATATCAAGAGTACATGGACTCCTGTTGATAGAAGGCGCACCAAGGATAATAACCCATCTTCATCTCCACACAACTTTCACCCAGATTTTCCTCAAAACCACAACCAGATCAATCCATATTCAGGTTACTGTCATCGATCTTTTCTTTTTTTCTGGGGTTGACACAGTTCTAAAACTCATGCATGATGTATGTTTTAGTTTCAGGTTTAGAGATGAAATTTCCTTGTGCTACGAGTTCGATGGCTATGTTTCGGTGCGTTCAGGTTCGGTCGGTGGATGATGCGGTTAACGAAATAGCGTATCAAACATCTGTGAACATTGGGGGGCATGTATTCAGTGGAATACTATATGATCAAGGCCCAGAACAAAGCTATAACATTAACAAGGGTGAGAGTTCCACTGCTCTTGTTGATGAACACCAGAATAATAGTCTTGGTCTGCTGAAGAATTCTTCGAGTAGAGAAAGCAGTGGTGTAACTATAGCCTCTGCCGGTCACGGTGACCCTCTTTTTCCTCCACCACCGTATCCCTTTCCACTTGCTTCCTTCAGACCCGGTATGCCATATTTCACATACCCAAGATCTTGATTGCTTTCTTTCGGGATCATCAGCAGCATAGATACGATCGCAATGCATGGAATCGAAGGCATTTGGGTGAGGAAAAAAATGAACTGATTGAGATTTGTGTGTTGTATACCCTAGAAAACACGCAAGTATACCCTAGAAACAAAATAGAGCTTGTTCTTTTGTGGTTGAAAAATCGAGGACTCAGTTTGTTCCCATTATGGTTTTGATGTGTAATTTAGCATGTGGCCGCCGCTAAGTTTGGCAGTTTTGTCTTCTTGCTTTGCTGCTATGATTCACTTTTTAGATTTTATCTAATATAATGTTTAGTTCCTCAACTCCCTCGTTATTCTGCACTCTACACTTCTGCTACCTTCTTGATTTTTTTATTATCTTATAAAAAACTGTGTCTAGAAAACAATATACATGCATATTTACTTTTTTATTATTAATTTATGTATATTAAATATGAATAAATTTGGTGATATATATATGTGTGGTGTGAGTAGAGTGCATCAAGCCCAAAGCGACTAAAAAAGACAGCGTGCCGTTTGGTAGCTGAGGACTTTCCGGAGGTTGGTTTTGTAGGCTCTTTTTGTTCCTTCCGTTGGCGTGTGCGGGCAGACTCTACATTTTGTTATTGTTTCGATTTTCTTACTCAATTTCACGGCCAAATTTTATTATTCATATTTTAAAATATTAAAAATTCGTCAAATATTTAACATCACCGTGAGATACTAATATAAAAAAGACTTTAAACATATGTTATTTTGGGATTTTAATGTCTGATCTCTGTCTGACTTTTATATGAGTGACGTTAATGAAACGTCGGATCCTTTAGGTTAGACGTCGTGTCTATAGATCATGTAAATGTGTATTGATTTTAATGTCCACTATGAACAAGAAAACTGAATTCTTTTATTTTGATTTAGTTGCACTTACAATTGAATATAATGAATGTATTACGTTATTACGTATGTTGAACATTTAAATCACCGAAAAATGTGTTTAATTTTAAAATACTATGACTTAAATACTAATGTGGTATTATTTTCGTTAAAATTATTCGATTCAGTTTTAAATTCTTTTTGTTGTTTGATGTGGTCTTAATTTTTCTTAATTTAACTTTTTTGGTTAATATTGTTTAAATAATGAACTAATATGTGTCATGGTTTTTATGTTTTGTTTAAGTTTTTTTTCATTTTTCTTAATTTAAAAAATTACATGTCAATTCAAGATCATATCACTGTGGTAGTAACAAAGTCATATGTTACTGACTGTGTTTTATATTTAATTTGATCTTAATATTTGTTAAATTTAATCAATTTAATTCTATTCTTTTTAAATGAATCAATTTATCTTCTTTTCAAATAGAAACCAAATTTAATTTTTATATGAATATTATATTGATATTTTTATTAAAACTCATATTTTATTAAATATTTCTAACTTAGGTTTAGAGTTAATTTAAAATTAAAATGAAAATTTTAAAAATTATTAACACTATTAATTTAAAATTTTAAGAGGTTAAATATCACATCAACTATTAAACAAAAATGTCATACAACATTATATTAATGGATTATAAAATAAAATTGCCAAATTTAAATTACTTTATTTATTTTTGTAAAAATAACTTTTTTTATCACAATAATAATTACAATAATTTCTTTTAACATTGTAAGATATATTAATTTTAATTTTTTCTTTTTATTTAATATTTTATGTGAATTTTAAGCTCTTAAAGTTTTAAACCAACTAATCTTTTCCTTAAAAATTTTGTTCTAATTTTATACCAATTATAACCCTAAATAAAAAATATTTAACAAAAATATGAATTTTATTAAATATAATATTTGTATAAAAAACAAATTTGGTTTCAATTTAGGTAGGAATAAATTAATCTATTTTAAAAATAAATTAGAACTAAATGAACAAAATTAACAAATATAAAACTTAATTCGAATATAAATATTGACATGTGACACTCCTACTATCTCATGCATCCTATAAATAAGGTGTTTAAGGTGCATCACATGCCATCCCAATTATATAAGGTGCATTCCATGTCATGTTGTTCCAATTATATATTTCACTGTTCTCCTAAACACTTTCTAAAAATCAAACTAGTACACCATTTTCAAATTCTTAATTGCACAAAAGTATATATATTATTCCAATAAAAGTATATTGAGGTAACATTTTTAGATTCATTTATAGCATTTGAAATATTATTTGTTTTAAAATTGATTATTTTTATCACGATTTTATTTTTAAAAAGATACCTCAAAATATTAAAGGAATAATAAATTTTTAAATGGTAATCATTTTATTGAAGTCAGAATATTTAAATTTTTTAGCCTTCCACTATGTATTTGTTCTAATATTAGCAGTTTCACATCATTCAGGAATTTAATGTAGTGAAAGGGGTGAGTATGATTGTGTTTATAATTTAATCTCAACTGCATATTTAATTTAATGCTTATGACTCCAAATGGGAGACTCTTCAATTAATTTGAATGGGACTAGGTGAAAATCTATTTATATAATTTCTTTTTCTGATAACATTTTCATACAATGAATAAGAAAAAAAAATTATAAATTAAAATTAGTATATAAATATCAATTAATTAATAGAATTACTTTATATAATTTATCTAAAATATTCTAATTTTATTTACTTGAAATAAACTAATTTTAATTTCAAAGAGGTACTTTCTTTTATTCTCAAAACCAATTATCAAAATAATCAAATTACAAAAAAAAAATAAGAAACTCAGTAAGTCATACTTAAGAAACATAACTTTCTTTTGAAGAAATCATATTTCACAAACACAATTTCAACTTTTTATTTATTTTTCTGCTAAAATCAGACTTAGTAAACACGATTTTAATAAGAAAAAACAAAGAAAAGGTTGTGTTTAATAATCACATCTTCGTTAAATTGGAATGAAAATTATATTTATCAAACACGATTTGATGACAACAAATATATGAAAGAAAATATGTATATGGAACACTGCTTTTGTATTGTTTAAATATAAGGTTGAAGTTATGTTTCTGAAGTACAACTTGTTTAAGATGAAATTATGTTTCCTAAATACAATTTAAAAAATCTTATAACTTCTCTATAACTTTCATTGTGATAATTTTTTTCAATAGGAAATATGCAACATGAAAATGAATAATGAAGTACATATATCAATCTAGATCTTATCTATTTATAACTAATTCTCAGTTGTTAATACTGTGTTTGGTTTTAACAAATAAACAGAAGAAATGAAAAAAAAAAAACTAAATATAGATCAAAGTTGAAATAAATGATAAATGTAGAACGCATATTTTAAAAATTAATTAATGTGATTAACTTTATAAAAAAATTTAAAAATATACGAGAAATAATATACTAAAATTCACATATTATCCTTTTTTTTTTCTTCCTCTACCAAACCCATATAATACATGTAGCCAAATTGATGCTTGTCTGGAATAATATGTTAAAGTAATAGTAAATTAATTTGATGCAATGTACCCTATAAAAGCTTGGTTCGATGCTTTACTTAATGTTATTAGATACCTTCTATATGTTAATCTAATCATAACAAACATATGTTTATATACTAAGTGATATGATAACTGGAGAGAGAAGCATAAAACTTATTCGCGTGTTTAGATTAGGCTACGATTGTTAAAAACAAAGGTTAAAAACTGGATTATTTTAAAGATTTAATCAAAAATGAATTTTACTTCTGAATAAAATATCTACGCTCAATTTAACAATAATTTATAACATCAGAATATATGCTTTAAATTAAAATATTAGTAGCAGTACTCTGAACTATTTAATTACTTTAAATACCTAAAAAATAATCAAAAGTTAAGCTAACATTAACAACTTTCGTTGTACAAATAAACGGTTATTTTATCATAGTTTAAAGGTACTAACTTAAAAGTTGTTTCATGGTCGTAGAATTTTAATTAATTCTATAATTTTTCTTAAATGGTAAATAACTTACTATTGTCTTGTGATTTTAGGTGATACAAAATAATATTTACGTATAAATTCAATAGATAAATTACAAAAATTAAAGTTAAGCATTGTTATTAGTAAATAATTTTTTTTTTCAGTTTGTTTGTTATATCTTTTACACTACAACAAAATTGATGATAACGTTATTTTAAAAAACACTATCTATTAATATGTTGAACAATATATAACGCTTATTTAAATAAATATTGTGATAGAAATAGATAGATTTTTTTAAATAAGTGTTATTTATAGATAATTAATATTATTTTTTTAATTCATAATTTAAAATAAGAATTTTGAGTTTGAGTATTTTTTCCCTGGAGCCCTTCTTGCGTTTTCATAGAGTTTTTTTTCACTCTGAAACAAATTTTCCCCCTTACCCTAAAATTTAAATTTTCGCCACTTCGGTTTTCCGCCCCAGTTTCAGTTCCGAATTTTCGCCCAAGTTTCACTTCCGATTTTTGTTTTATTTTGTTGGGTTTAGCTTTTCTGCGTTTTGGAATAAAACGAGATTGGCCAGAAATCCTTTATCTGTTATTTCTTTTCAAATTCGCGAATACCATCTCTTATTCTCTTCTTTCTTCTTGCTATTCTTTCCTTTCATTCAAGAAAACCGCAAACCCTAAATCAAGGAAAAGGGAATTTTTGGGTGCGGCGAGGTAGAGAGTGGAATTAATGCTAGAAGGAAAAACGAAAAAGCGATTGAAATTAAAGGAGGATTCTAGGGTTCGAGAATTCCTATTTGGGGAGTGAGGAGTGGATGGCGATAATAGGGAGGAGAGTTTCGGTTTTAAAAGTGGTGGCACGAGGTTAGGGAGAGGGAACCAGTGAGTATCGTGAGGTCAACCATTAGGGTTCTATTTGAGGTTCAGAAGGGGTTTTATTTAAGGACGGTGAGGAGTGAGTTGTGAGCACAGAAAGAGATTGCTTTAAGAAGTCAGAGGGAGAACTAGGTAGTGGAGAACGAGGAGTGCATAGTGACCTGAGAGTTAACGATGAAGAGAAATTAACCAGGTATGGAGAGCTAATTCCGTTATTTTTAAATTATTGTGGTCTGAATGTATGAGTTTAATGTGTTCCTGTTATGTAGTTTATGTGTTAATTGAAATTCATTGCTTAAACAATTGGAAGTTAATAATACTTTGTAATTATGTTTTGTGGAATTACAACGTAAGAATGTGGTTGTTATTCTAGTATATATATGACCATGCAATGTTTGAGTTTTATGAATTATGAGTTGGTATGTGGTATTGGATTTGAACTGTGAGTGCAGGGAGAGGATAGCCAGGTAATTAGTTATTCTGTTAAACTCCAGCGGGTTCTTTGATGCAGGGGAAATGTGTCTTCTTTGTGTTTGTGAGGGAGTGTGCTGGTTGTGGTGTGATTTGGTCCAATTTTCTGCATTTTTTGAAACTAGTATCTAAATTATATTTCAGAAAGTTATATATTGTTGATGCACGGCCAAGAAAAAATGCATTGGCTAATGGAGCCATGGGAGGTGGTTCAAAATCATCATCAAACTATTTTCAATCCGAGGTTGTGATAGGCTTGAACTGACTAGTTGTGATTTCTTGTTTTATCCAGTTATAATTATAAATTTGACTTTACTTCCGAAGTACCTGAATTCTTATTTTGTTTGACCAGGTAGTCTTGTTGGGGATAGACAACATCCATGCGATGAGAGATTTGTTCGGCTTCGAGAATACATGGACACTCATTTCAAAGCGTCATCAGATGGAATTTCCTCTTTCTTGGTTAGTCTGTGAATGTTTGAACATTTTATCTGTTGCAGCATTAGATGAATTGATTGGGCTATTAGAAAATAACCCGCTTTGGAGCTGTTAGAATAAACTGTTTTTAAAATTTTTGCATTGATGAAAAGTTTAGATGTGAATCATGATGCATGCACAAAATATTTTTATTATACCTCTCCAAATCATCCAGTATGGTTAAACAAGTATGGCATTTCTCATACTTTTCTACTGAATTGTTTTATGCATGGTATTCATAAAAACAAGTGCGAAAAACTGAAAAAAGAAAAAAGAACTATTTTTTGTATCGGAGTTTGGATTTGATTTCAAAAATCAATCTAATCCAAAACAAACTTATAAATATGCTGATATTTTTATTCATAAATTTATGAGATCACTTATATTTACATTTATTTTATAAAAGTATATAAACATATCTAAACGTAATTATCATTTTTCGAGTTGTGAATTTAATAGTATAGATTTTAAAAGTTATACAACTATTAGCTTTATAATGACTTGCAGATTACATACTTCTTGTTTTTACTTTTTTTATATTAATTACATATCTTAGTAATTTTTTGAATATATACTTCAAAGAAAAATTAAAGAAGGCTGAAATTTAAAAATGATCCAATGCCAAATGCTTTTAATTCGAGTCCCTTGAATTGGATTTAAATTTTAAACCAAACTATTTTCATGGTGAATTAATGATTGATCAGGTCTAATGAATTTTTTTTTCCAAACTGATTTAATCTAATATTAAATATCCTCAGTTTATGATTGGCTACGTTAATTTTGGTAAAAATCAATTAACATAGTCTGTTTCTGATTAGTAGTGTTTGGTAAAAATTTTACTAAAGTAATTGATGAATTTTATTTGCAAACCAGCTGTTATTGATTAAAATTTTAATAGTTTGTAATTTTTTATTTACATAAATAAATATATTTTTTCTATCCTAAAATGATTGCAATTTTAGCTCTTAAAAGAATTTCAAATGCATTACTTTTTCTTGACATTAGCTCACTATTTCTTTGTTGTTATGTTATTGGTTAATTAAATAACTGTATTATTGTGAAACTGGTTGGAAGAGTGTACAGTTGTAATGAAAGCATGACTTTAAGAGTTTAAATTTGTATATGGTATATAGTTATTTGTTATCATGTAATGAATTTGGTTGTAATATACTAGAGTTTTGGTTCTTTTTTATGTTCATATTATAAAGATGTTTTTTAATTTTGGTTTTCTAGTGTCCATGACAACCCAACCACAATGATTGTGGGTATTACGTGTGTTAATATATGAAGGAAATTATCACATACTGTGAAGGAGGAACAATTCCAAATGATGTAAGTTATTTTTATTGTCACAATTAATTTGTAGTAAAATTTAATTAACTAATTCTATATTATTTTTCTTTCGTGCAATATTTTTCTAGTTGCAGATGTCAACAATATTGTAAAAGTCAAATAATTGAAGTTAGGGAAAATTAGTGTTTACATGTAACTAATACATGCTTATAGATTATGTTATGGTGATGTACATGTTTATAAGTACTGATAGAATATATATGTTATGGTTATATATATTATCTTATAAAGCAATGTACACATTAAACGACTTAGATATTAATGGACATTCTTTTTGAGACATTTGTGATATTTTTCTCAATATTTTATATTTTTTTCTATACAATAAAACCAACAGATAGAGATAGTGCGAGTTTGTACATAATATTTTATTCTAAAATTATTTTTTTAAAAAAAAATTAGATAATAGATAATGCTTATTTAAAAAAGTGTTATCTTCAACTACCAATAAATAGTATTTTAAAAAAATTCTATCTATAAATTTTAATTTCAAAAAATATTAAGAAAAAAAACATATTTAACTCTTTATATATAATATTAAGTAGTTTAATCTTAACTTCCAATCATGTTACTAGAAACTATAAATAAACATGAAGAATTGTGAATGAGAATTGTTAGAAAATCATGTATTAAAATAAAAGTAATGTCAGAAAGCATGGTACAATATCTCTACATTTTCAAGATGTCTGTCTGTCTCTTAATTTTCATGATCTTTTTGAGACAATTTCCTATCATTGTTTTATATATTATGGTAATCAATAAATTATAAGATGATGCTAATCCATTTACATATTTTAAAATTTCATGATTTAATTTAACCATCAAAGTGCTATGGCACCATTTTGCATGCAACTTTAAAGATCAAAAGATGTGGTGAAATGGCTCGTAAATTGAGAATTTTCAAGGATCAAATGGTAAATAATGGTGTTTCACCGTCTGGTCCCACAACATTGCCAGATGTGAGTTTTGCTTTATTTATATTATTACTCTATAATGGGCTTTTCAGTGGTGGGCCTATTATGGGTTCATATTGTTATTGGTCCAGTTCTTAAGTAATTTTGTTAGTGTCATAATTTTAATTAACAAAATGATTTTGCATAATTAGATGTTTGTTAGTTGTTTTAATCGGGTACGTTATTTTTAACAATAAATCAAGACGTGTGATAGAGATAATGTTGATTAATAGGAACAGGTACGACGATATTATCTACTTCTACCATACAATAACATTTTTTATTCTTTTGAATCCTTTATACTTTTATTTTTCTTAACTAATTTTTTAGTTTCTACTATCTACAATAAACTAAAGATATAAACTGTTGTAATGAAAAAATTACTTTTTGTTTTTGTTGAATAATTATGACAATTAATAAATATTAAAATATTTTTATAATATTATTTGAAAAAAAGATTACAAACTTTTTCATTACAATATTTAATAATGATTCATATTTTTTATTTAATTTACAAAAATACAACACGCATAACGACAATAGTTTTCCTGTATTTAAGAATAATGGTATATTTGCTGTGGGGCTATGGATGTGAACTTTAAGATTTTAAAATATGTTACGAATTTTTTTTTTCTGCTCTCCTTCATCATCTTCTGTCTTTTTCTTTATTTTTCCTGTATATATATTCTCTTTATCAATATATACTTATTTATGAATTGTAAATATATATAAGGATTGACTAGTACTTTTTTAAGTTTGATGTCAAAATTTTAAATTTAAAAAAAAAATTGTGCACATAGTTACAATTAATTTGTATAATTTCCAATTAAAAAATTAAAATCTATTTTAAAAAAAGTCATTTCAAACTTAAATGTTCCAATCTTAATAAATTTCACATTATAGCGAGAAATATATGTTGAGATTTTATGTGTATTTATATAAGATTTTTGTGAATGTATGTGTTTTTTATTTTATAAAAGTTAATAAGAATTAAAGCTTTAATTCAGTAGTTTCATGGTTAAATGGGCCATGAATGAAGTTGGTCCATGCATAAAAGAAGAAAATGTTGTATACCCTACAAGAGGGCCAACAAATAATTTAACATTAAAGGAAATTTAATATGAGTAGTATATAGTCTACAAATGGTCAACATTCATAATTTCAGAGGTCTTTGTCTCTTTGAAGTGGGGTATGCCATTGTTTCCATTATTGGCCCAAATAGAAAGCCCTAGAACAACATTTCCCTCAATTCAAAAGTTTAAGTGAGTTCAATTTTGAATTTTGAAACTTCAAAGGACACCTCACTGATATAAATGTATTATTTTTATATTTTAAATTAAATTTTAGGCATATATGTTATTTTTTATATAAATTTTATTAAATTATGAAACTGTTTTAATTATTTAAAAATGACAAATATTGTGTATAGATTTGATAGATACGGGGATGTGTGTGGACTTGTGTAAATTTAAAAAGAATGTGTATAACACTTTGAATAAGTAATTCAAGTAGACTTATATGATTCTTGCAAAATAAGAAAGACAATTACGTATTTAAGTTTGCATTCACATAAATTTGAATCATAAAGATGTGTCGGTAACGTTTGTATTAAAAATAAAACTTTAAATTAAATTAAACTTAGTGAGTAATTTATAAAATCCGTGGCATAATTAAAGCCTTCACTAGAAATGCTCAAAATTAACAATTTAATTTTTCATTCACTACTTGAAATGTATTTCAAATTGATTATCTTATGCTTCACTTTCTGAATTTAAGAACGTGAACACATGATAAATCAAAACTAAGCTTAAATTTAGTAAGATAATAAAATGTTTATGCCAAATAAATTAAACTATTTTCAAATAATGTAAAATCTCAATTAATTGGATTGGGACGTAAACTCGTTGAATTCAGTTATGAATGGACCGTGGTGAGGAGGCACGAAATCAACAATAATTATTAGAACGCATTAAAGCGACTATTATCTAAAAAAGAAATCCTAAAACACAAATAATTAATACATTATTGAACTAAATTTGTTTCAATACATTTTTTTTTTCCTTTTACTTCAAACAAACCAAGTTATGAAAAAGAAAGAAAAAAAAAAGGGAAACCTAAACGAGCTTTTTGTATATGCAAGATAGATAGATACATACACAATAATAAAAAGTAAAGTATGCATGAAGAAACACGAAAGATAAGAAACCCCACAAGGCTTTGATATGATGAAAGGAAAACAAAGCACACCACAATCATCTCCAACAAACCCAACAACAAAGAAGCCTTTGTCTCAATCTCAGTGACCACCACTCTCCTTTTCTTTCTCCTCCTCTGTCTTCGAGTGGTAACCAGGAAGCTTCTCCTTTATCTTCTCCAATATACCTTTCTTCTCCTTTCCTTCTCCTTCATGATGACCACCCTCACCGTGTTCCGATGAGGTCGCCGCAGGTGGTGGTGGTGGTGGAGGAGAAGCAACCTCCTCGGTCTTCTTGTGCCCTGGTAGCTTCTCCTTAATCTTGTCCAGGAATCCCTTCTTTTCCTCAGTTTCAACAACCTCGACTTTCTCAACTGGAACACTTGTGTCCTCCTCGATTTTCTTCTTTTCCTTCTTCTTCTTCTTCTTTTTCTCTCCATCTTCTCCTTCCTCCTCACTTGACTGCACACACATTAATTAATAGTTTAATAAAACGCATATTCATCCGTATTTTTTAATTCATTAACATAAATTTTCATATAAAAAAAAAACATTTCAACACTGATTAAAGGATATGATATGATCAATAACTACTGCATGAAAAGGTTGACAAACTTATACACACAAATTTATATATAGATATTTGCATGGAAATGAAAAGAAAGATTTACAGAGCTGGAGCTGCTGTCAGATCGGTGAAGCTTTTCTAAGAGGCTGTGCTTCTTCTCTCCTTCTTCTTCTTCCTTCTTCTCCTCTGACACTGTGACCTTTTCAAACTCGGTGACGATCACCTCTTCCTGATGCTTCTCTTCTTCCTTTTTCTTACCGAGAAAGTCAAAAACTCCACGATCCTGGACCTCCACCTCACTGCTCTGAGGGGTCTCGTACTTGTTCTGGCTTTCCTCTGCCATGATCGGATCGGTAACTGATTTTACAACAATAACAAACTCAATAACAAACTCAACAAAAGAGACTTAGCTGGCACTGCAAAAGCAAAGTGATGAGTTTCTGAGAAGAGAAATGAATTGAGTTGGATGATTTTAAGCTGCAAGAGTGGGACACCATTTATACTTGCCATCACGCGCACTATCCGCGATTAAGAAAATCAAAAGGTGCTAACCGACGTGTGGATTAAGTTAAGAGATCCATTCACGCGCCTTTATTTGCATCTCTATATTCACGCCTATGAATTTGGCTCCAAACCCAACTTCCTGCATCTGTAATAAACAAACTCTTCTTAATTAATTTATATAAAATTACAAAGGGTGACTGAATTAATTAATGATATTAAATTTATTCATCGTGCACGTTATATTTCTGTTTTACAGTAATGCATGCCATATTTTAAAATTACTGAAATGCTGATTTCATGTTTTTACTTTTATTATAAATAGAGAATACAGATATGACATCAATTATTGTTTGTTTTTTAAAATGTTTATATAGAAACAATTAATCCGGATCAAAATTAAATAACAAATGACTATTATTTTTAATTTAATTAATTGATTTGATAATTTTTTTCAATCTTTACTAAAGAAATAATTGAATAAATGAGTTTGTTAACTTTTATTCATGATTTGAATAATAGAGCGAGTGAAGATGGTGTAAGGGTGTGCGAGGGTGGGAGGAAAAAGAGAGAGAGTGATCTGTGATACGACGAATGGAGGAGAGACACGTGGCGAAAGAACGTGGGGAGGCGTTCCATTGACAGAAAATGCCGACCTCGATGGATAAATATGTATAAGTCGGTGGGTTTGCGTGGGAATCATAATTCTGTACGACACTAGCTAGACGCTCGACGGCGACGTCGTTTTAATCCCCTATATCTCAGTGTTACTCTTACTATAATAAATACAACTAGAAAGTACGTGAGGTGTGTTCTAGCTGCACGATATTTCTTAATTCTATAATTCGAATTTTAAAAGGAATATAATTCATGTTTTAGAAGAAATTTTAAAAAATATAATTTAAGATAAACTATAATATTAATGTATTTAAATTTGGGTTTATTATAATTGTGAGAGTTACACTGTTAAAAGTGAGAAAGTGGACCTGAATACAGGAAACATTACTTCAACTATCATTGAATATAGAAAAAAATATAAATATAGTATCAAAACTAATGACTTTTTTATTTATGTTTTAGATATAATTTGTGAAAAAAATTTAATTGAAATAAATTAGAAAAATATTTTTATTACTATCAATTACAATTATTTAAACTTATATTAATTAAAATTATTTTTTTAATATACACATTACGTCGTTACTATGTCATCGTATTGAAATCAACAAGTGTTGCATGTTTTCTCAGTAATATTAAAGGCTTATTCATCTAAGATATTTGAGCTAAGATCTTACAATAAGCTTTGAAATGCATCATGTGAACAAATAAGTTAATGTTTGCTGTTAATGACAAGATGATACATAACCAATTAACTAAAATTGATTAACTTTTAGAAAGTGAAAGATTAAATATGTAATTAAAATTATATAAGATTCAGAATTACACAATCACGGCATAAAAATTTATTTGAAATTTAACAATATTAAGAATATTATCAATTTTTTTTTGTTGGTTTCTTGTTCCTCACTTTTGAAAATAGGGCATGACATTCTTGGATTCTTTGTAACTAGAGTTTTCACGGGTTGTTTTTGTGTAGAATTTGGATAAACTTATCAATTAGATCTTAATTTTGAAAAAAAAAACTTTTATTAATTATAATTAACTTAAACTAATTAAAACATAACACAATCTTTATAAGCCAATTTCTTGTTTTAGAATTCATCATCGTTTTTTTTTTCATACCTTTTAAATTTAGAATTTATAACTCTTCCCCGCAATTATGATCCTTATGAAGATCAAAAAGATTAGGTGAAATTAATGGTAAAGAATGGTGTTTGTTAGTTGTTTTAATGGGATACGTTATGATTAACAAGGTATGAAGATACATTGTCATGTGATCGAGATAATGTTGATTAAATAGGAATAGATATGAGGATGATATCTTCTTTGAATTGAGTAATCCAGTCATTTACTTCTATCGTGCAATAACATTTTTTGTTCTTTTGAATCTTTTATACTTTTATTTTTTTTAATTATTTTTTGAGTTGCTACTATCTACAAGAAACTAAAGTTATAAATGGTTGTACTGAATTTTTGTTGTTGTTGTTACTGTATAATTATGGTAGTTAATAAAAATTAAAATATTTTTATAATGTTTCTTAACAAATATTTTAAAAATTTTCCATTGCAATATTTAACAGTGATTCATATTTCTATTTAAAATGTAAAAAAAAATACAAACAAAAAGTGACAATGGTTTTCCTGTATTTAAGAATAAATGGTATAATTACGGTGGGCTTATGGATGTGAATTTTAAGATTTTAAAATATGTTAAACTCTTCATCATCCTTCTGTCTTTTTCTTTATCTTGCCTATATCTTTCTTCTCTTTATCAATATACTTATTTCTAAATTGTAAATATATCTAAGGATTGACTAGTACTATTTTAATTTTAATGTCAACGTTTTAAATTTGAAAAAGAAAATGTGCACATAATTACAATTAAATTGTCCCGTCAATTAAATTTAACTATTTAAAAAGAAATCAATTCAAACTTAAACGTTTGAATTTTAAAATGCAACAAATATATGTTGAGTTTTGTTGTGTATGTATGTGTTTTTTTTTTAAGTTAATTACAATTAATGCTTTAATTTAGAGTGTAAAGGTTGAGCTTCAGTAGTTTTATGTTTAAATGGGCCATGATTGAAGTTGTAACATAAGTTCATGAACGACTTGAAAAGGTTTCGTGTTTAAAGAAGAAAATTGGGGTTTTCTTCCTAAATTCCCATATTTTTAAAAATTCTAATTATTCTCCAACTGAAATTGATAGAAAAGAATAATGTAAATTTTTGTTGTTGTTTTAGGTTGTGTAATACGTAGATACTTTTTATTACATGATCTAAAATTTAAAAAATTATTTTTACATGTTATAGATTATAAAATTCATGATATAAATTTGTGTTTTGAATTGTAGGAAATATAATTTTGCATTCTAGATTATACGATTTATAATACAAATTTATATTTTAGATTGTATAATTTGTAAAACAAATTTAAATATTAAAGAATCCTAACGGAAAATTTAATAAATACTGTGTAGCCTACTGACAACAACAAATGGTCAAGATTCATTCATAATTTCAGAGGTCTTTGTCTCTTTGAAGTGGGGTATGCCACTGCTTATATTATTGCCCCAAATAGAATGCCCTAGAACGGAGACGAAGTTTCAGTTCAATTTTGAAATTTGAAAGGACACCTGTACAAATATAAATTCAATCCGTAACTTGTTCGAAGATGTTGGAATAAAGTTTTGCAGGAGTAATTTTAAAAAAGAAAAATCAGAAATAAGTAATTTAAATTTTAAGTAATCGACAGATTAAAAATGAAAAAAATAACATGTTACCTTGTTGACAGGAAAGTTAGATAACATGTATTTATAAAATAAAAAATTATTTTAAGTATTTAATAAAATTTTAATTAAAATATCCATAGACTAAAACTAATTGACATAAAATTATAAAACAAAATTAAGCAACTACGATTAAACAAATTTTACATACATCAACTAATTTTAACTTTTAAATTATTCTGAATCCTTTTGATGGAAAAAAAAGAAGAGTATTTTCCAATTTCGCAGGACACTACGTAGAAAAATGATACGTGACACTATTGGCATGCAATTCAGCAGTGGATTGAAAATCTAGATCTCTGCCTATGTTTATGAGTACAAAGAAAGAATTGAGTGTCTACACTGCTCTCATAAATAAGTAAAATACTTTACAAAAGTTCATCCGACTCAGAACAAGGACCAGAAAAGAAGAGACAGAATCTACACTATATAATTACATAAACACGTCCTCCACTTCAAAGGAAACTGCATTTGTCCTTCAACCAAATACACATGACAAGTTTCCAAACTAGTCTCTTTCCATGTGAAAGTGAACGACTACAACATAGAACAACATAACTTTGTCTCCGTCTTTGTCCGGCCCCTACCCAGGATTAGGAATGCAAGTTCTCCAGTACATTCATTACATATCTAACTCATTTTATCATGCTTTATATACTATCACACTATTGCCTACGACGGCGTTTAGTGTCCACCTGCACAATACCAAGCAACACACACATATTAATACATCAATCCTTCCTTTTTTCAGACCAATACCATTCAACTTCAACAATAACAGATTAATGTTATTCCATGGCAGTGCCTAAGAAGAAGAATCCAGATATCTACACTATTTGGGTGGTCAAAACTGATAATTTTTATGTGAAATATCATGGCAGGTATAAATGTTTAGTACAAATAAAATGGTGGCACTGTCCTTAGGCATTAAAGCCATACTAAAGGAAGTCATAAAAATCACATTAACCAGAAAGAAACGTTAATTTAAGCAAAAAAGGATTGGAAAAAGATACGAAATACCGAATGCATGTCAGTCACAAAAACTTTTTGTTATTTAACAAAAGAAATATTAATTTGCAATGGCACTCATTCTCTTACTCAATTGGTGACTTCCTACATACAAATGAACCAACTGAGGCGCATGTGACCATGAATCACAGGATATTGAGGATATAATCATTTGACAATAGAATAGAATTTAGCAAACCAATAGATGATAGATGAAGTATAAACCTCTCCAAAGCCTCGGTGAGTCGATTCAATGGTATAAAGTTATGAAAAGAAAAAACAACTCACGTTATCAAACAACAATTATTTGAAATACCTTTGTATCCGAGAGTCTAGAAGCGGAATGAGAGTTCTGCAACTTTTTTTGACCTTCGGCAGAGCAGCTTTCACAAAAGAAGTGGTCAAGTCTTTTGGCTTCTTCAACAGTCATGTCTATGCAAGCAGGATGGAACCTGAAAAATAAATTATCGTGCTGAAGACTATATTCACGCAGCCCGATATCCACAAAATAATGGCACGTGTTGCAAAACAAGTTATTTTCAATGCACAAATATGTTAATTTTAGAGGTATCGAAGTCAAAAATCTTCTATTCATCATGGTTTATAAAACAAACTAAATGGCCCTAGATCTCAAAAGCGCATTCTTAAAAATGGCTTACTAGTAAACCTTACATATTTATTGCGCCTCCAATAACAATATGGAAAACATCTCAACATTCAAAGCAGCTCTTTAGTCAGTTCCATAGTAAGACTGACGAGGATAACAAATTTGCTATGAAAAAAAGTTATGTTCTCTTCCTTAAAGACTAAGGTTCCAGGAATTTAATTCAGTAGTTGCATGAACTAATTAGTTGATCATCACGTCCAATCTAAAGGCTATTGCTTAGCTAGTTTGTGGACGTGCTACTGTTTGAATTGCCAGTGGAATAATTATGCACATGGATTTTATCGTACATTCACTATCCGTATAAAAAGAACATAACATATTAGATTAAAATTAGCAGAATGAAGCTTAAAGCAAAAACATGAAAGAAACACTGGGAAAAAAAAGTCGTATAAAATATGAAGGAAAAAATGTCAATACAAAGGTAACTTTCTTATGCAATGCAGCAATGGGCAAGGAAGAAGAGTTCAAATCCTACTTTTTAAAAGCAAAAAACACATTAGAAAATGGGGGAGAAATTGCAATTTTACACTTAAAAAACCTGAACAGTGTTGCTTCCCATGAACAAGGTTATCAAACTCTTGAGTGTACGATCCTAAATAGAAAAAAATAAGTTAACTCGCTATTGAACTCTTTTCTGATTAACCTCGGTAAATTCTTAAAACTGGTGCAAACTCACATAAATCTCCAATCAAGAAATGAGGAACGAGTGTGGTACTAAATGTAGGTTTTGAATGAATCATTACACCCACAACTTATGTTTTTATGAGTTTTGGTTTAGTCATCAAGTTTATTGGGTACTAATGAATGTACTATATATCATACTTTATTATTGTTGTATTAAGAGTATTCTTTTATGCATATATGTCATTAACAGATTTATTTTAGGTAAATTCTTATGAGTTTATAAGTTGAATCGAAGAGTAAGTATATGAAAGACCCACGAGTTTGAAAATCTTGGTCATCAATAACCACAGGTTTTGCGTCTATTTGAATCCCATTAGGGCCGCTCCCCCACTGTGCTATAGTATGCTATTGACTACAATGGTTTAACCATGTTTTATCAACTCAGACAAATATTTATAGGGAACATCAGATTTATGCTATGAATTTGGCACGTTAACTTGAGTGTCACTGCATGCATACATGAAGAGTGGAAGCACTAAAGTACAATAATGAATTCAAGTGCATGATCTTTTTTGATGAATTTGTTACCATATTTTAGACAAGATATGAAATTCCTGAAACAAGGTAGCTTTGATAATTGTCTATACTATAGTAGATAACCACAATAAGGAAAGAAATAAGAAATTAATGAAACACCTTATCAGTGGCTGATGACATGGTTTGCCAAATTAAGAAAGACGAATAACATGGCCAACTAAAGTATTGTTTGCTTTTGGTTCCATCTCGATCTTACTTATATGGCCAAGAACAAGTACAAATAGTTATAATTAAAAGAAACTTAGTTCTCTTAAGCTACGACCCAGATGTCAATAACCAACACACAAAACGGTTGCATAACACTTAAATGCATGCAACAATCCATGAATATACGCAATGTGTGGGCAGCTCCATAAATTCCATAAGAATTTACTTCATATATGTCTATAAATAACGTAATAATTGGATGTTTGAATCCGGCAACGAAGTAGCTAAATCTAGTATTGCATTACTGGTAAGCAAGTTCAATCAATACCAACTAAAAAATGTGGCATAAGTGCATACAACATTATGCTTTAAATATTTGTTCATACTTTGCAATAATATCATATTTTTTATTATATTCTATACTTTTATTATATTACAATATATTTATTACACTTTATTTTGGAATTATTAGTATTATTTAGTTTATTATATTTTGTTACGTTTTCATAAAAACAACGAAAAAGTTGTTGGATTCAAACTAAAACACTGAAACCCTAAGTATGACCTGGCTCATCAGCTGCCCATTAACTAGAGCCGCCCCAAACATTCAAGAGAATGCAGAGGAGTGTGAGGTCACGGTGGCAGTCGGTGATAGTGATAGTGAACATGCAATGCCATGCTCTGCAATGGCAAAGGTCGCAGAGCCTTGTCTGTTAAAAGCACATACAGAAGCCTGCAAATCATGGAAATGGCACCTTTACATCCATGTGCTCGGTCACTGGTGCTTTACCAGCGCCAAAGGACCACTCTGTTTCACCAACTTACAATTGAATACTGGTGATTCATTTAATATTTAAGCTCACATGATTTCACCCAACTTGGGGTTGAACTCGTGAGTTTGGCAGAATTCATTTGAGTATGTGATAAACATATTTTATGCAGAAGTTTAACATAGTTGGAGGTCTTATCATTTCTTTAGTGTATAAAGGTTAATTCTTAGTTAGTTTTAGTAAACTAACTATAAAGGAGAAATTAATCAAGAATGACCTTGATTGTATAAATTTTAACTGGCATTGTGGACGAAGACATCAATCAGGAAAAAGAATACACGATCTACCCCAATCCTGCTGAGTTCCGTGAAACCGATTATGCATTTGAGAATAAACTCGAGCAATTTTACCAGTTAAATTGCAAGTTTGATAACTTTGAATATAAATATATGCATAAATAAGTAACCATTAAAAGAGAAATGAGAAGGGTAGGGTAGAAATTACCCACAGCCTAGTCAACAGCAAAAAAAAAAACAGGTTGAAAAAAACTGCATAGTTACTGCTGATTTAAAATACTCTTTTCAAATGATACAGCAAAGGAAAAAAAAAGGACAAAGGACAAATAGAACTGAAAGTTCCATCAGAGGAATGCAAGATATTCAAAGAACTGAACATTCCAGTCTTCACAAAATCAAACAGACATCTTACATAGATCAGGATAAGAGGGAAGGCCGATAATTTAATGATAAATCACTTTAAATATTTTACTTACCAGTCACTGCAGCCCTCACATTGGACCATTAGGTCATCAGGATTGTAAGGCATCTCACATTTACAATACCTGCAATGAAATTTTAAACAACTTCTATCAGGCAGAGTCAGCAGAATTCAAGAAAGATCTCACAGCTTCTCGAATCTAACAAAAGTCGATGTTTACCATTTCCAACTCAACATATAAAATCCTAATAACATAAACCGAGTAAATATATTATAGAATAATCCCATAATCTGAGCCATTACCAGACTAACCAACAGAAACTTAGAATTTGACATTAAGTTAAGTTTCGAAATTGATGGCAGCTAAGTAAAATAAAGAGAGAAAGTCCATTCATTCCAACAAGAAATTTTACCAAAAATCAAACAAATTTTGAAACTAGGGCAGCAGAGACTACAATAGAAAATATATCTGAGCATCTAAAATAAAAGTGGTGGACTCACACTGCAACTCTATCAGGATTGAAGGCACCTGTGGAGGAATTGTACTCAAACCGACAGAAGAAATCATCGTTACCAACCGCATCCAGTTTTGTGTAGCTCTTGAAGCTGTGGACGGTACACTTGCCTTCGATTGTGTCGGTGCTCTGAACATCAAAGTGATCAGAGAGAAAAACCTCCTTTGAGCCATGAAACTGGCGGCGACCCCCAATTGACTCCTCTGGCCTGTAGTACCAGCGAACATGAATTTTCACATTTGCGCCACGCGCATCCGCCTCGATCCTTTCGATCCTGGCCACATATGAGGGTTTAGCCGGATCCGACGGTCGCATGAGCACGCAATCAGCAGCTGAAAGACAACAACAAAAAGAGCCTTTGGATTGAGGAAAGCAAATTGAGCTAGCACAAAACAAAATTAGTCTGATTTAATCCAATAAATTTGTCAAAATTGTTTTGTGAGAAATAGAAAGTGAGTTTACCTCTAATGGTTTTGCTTATGTGTTTGACTGAGTATGACTCTAGGGTTCGTCTTGGAGCCTTCGGCTTAGCCATGAGATGGAATGGAAGCACAGGATGTAGAAGATTGAGGATGAATAAAATACAGAAAAATATTATGTTTTTTTACATGTAAGGGTTTATTAATTTTTTGTTTCAGTGCTGCGCTGAACCATGGGTAATGGTGGGGCGACTTTTATCTCAGCGTTCATTGAAATGCGAGTACACGTACACAGATATGGACCAGAAACTTTTGTATTTTTAACTTTTAAAATAAAAAAAAATATCAAACTTTGCTAATAATTCCAGGTGGTAGTCAGTTATGGTACTGCACATGTAATATTAATACTAATAATAATGATAATAATTAAAACAGTAATAATAATATTATTATAATTAGAGATATCTTAGGATGCTGAGATAAAATAGTATTTTAATATATTTTTTTGAATTTGAGTCATTTGTATTAAATATATAAGGAAAAATAATAATGTAACTTGATAAAGTTGAAATCTGATTCACTGATGATAAAATTATAAATTATAACGTAATAAAATATATTATACTTAATAAAAATTCATCCTCCTTAAATACTTAATTACTATAATTATGTTTTCTATTAATGTAATGGTACAGATAATTAATAAGAATGTGGTTTTTAATTGACTTTTTATATACTGTTTCTTTTATTATTTTTATCCTGGTATATATTATTAATTCCATGAACTATAATAATAAACAAATTACAAAGAATTGTAAATGTTACGAAAATTAATAAAGTATAATAATTTTATGTATATTATAATTTTAATATAAATTTATTTTATTTTAATAATTATTTTATAATAATAATTTTAAATCGTTTGATATTATTTTTAATTACATACTTTTATGCATTAATAATAAAATAATTGTTTTTTTACTTAAGAAATTAGATAATTAAATAGTTTATTATTTTAAAATCATTAAAAATTTGCCACATAAATTTTTAATACTATTTTATAAAACTATATATTTTAAAATTTATTATTTTATATTAATTATTTAAAATTATATATTTTAATTTAATAATAATTAAATGCATGTCCACTTTTAATTAAAATAAAGAAAAATGCAATGTAAATTATATGCTTGAAATTAAGAAGCTGAACAGTGTGCACACAAGAAAACAGGATAAGGGCGAGGACAATGGCTAAGGAGTCCCTTTAAGATGTAACATGGTCAATTATTTATTAAATTTTGTCTACCAAATTTGTATGATTAATGTAGAAATCTTAGCTCAGAAGCTATGTGATAACTTGATTTTGAAAAAAGGAAAATAACTTATTTTTCAATATTTTTTAAAAAAGTTAACCACTATTGATATAATCAATTAAAATAGTATTTATAATCATTATTAAAGTTTAAAATTTAATATAAATTAATAATAATTTTAAAAATTTATTGTTATTATTAATAATTTGTCTATAAAGTTAGTATACGACAAATATTTGAAAAATAAATAATATTAAATTTTCATTCATAATATTAAAATTTGATTTATTCTTATATAAATGTTTTGATAACATGACATTTGATAATATAATTTTGTTGTTGTAAATTACTACTGGTAATAATAAATATATTTTATGATAATAATTGGAATTGAGATATAAAATATAGAAGAGAAAGTGAAATATTTTTCATTGGTATTTAAATTTATATCTAATACAAATAAAAGCGAAGTAAAATGAATGAGACAATAAATAAACTAAAAGTTATACTAAATTGGTAACATATGGACTACTGTTAAGAAATAAGAAAGTAATATATTAAATTGTGTTGTAAAAAAAAAAAATTGCATCCACATGTTTTAGGAGCATGATCACTAAAATTATGAAATGTGTGCATGTAATACTCAACTATTTGCGGGTAAATTGTGATTAAATGAAATTTGTGGTTTTTACATTGTTCATTATTTGAATGATTTTGAGTCTTTTAACATAAGTCTAATTTGTTTCATTGAGATCTGTTTGATGTTATGTTAATCAGATGGCTAATGCACTAACATTTTAGTAATACAGTTTATTGGTGTATTTATATGAACATGACCGATATAGTATATTTATAGTAATTATCTTTCTATAGTAATCATCATCCATATGGTTAGAGATTTTTGAACTTTTTTGAAATGTGATAATTTTAAATTTTTTTAATATAAATGTGTTTTGATTTGAATACAGTAATATATTTATAAATTTCACTTGGTCTTTTGTAGTGATATTTATATTAATATATTTTTGTAATTTTGAGATTGAAATAAATAAATGTAATTGTTTTTTATTTTCTAAAATATTATAGTAGAATATTATAAAATGATTTTATTGGCAGAGTACATATTATATATATATATATATATATATATATATATATATATTGAAAAATAATTTAGGAAATATAATAATAATACTTAATATAATCACTTTTATATGATTTAAGAATATAATCAGGTTATTATATAAAAATATAAGCAGATCTAAGTTATTGAAATATATTATTAGATTTGTGTGATTAATTATACATTTTAATTATAATTTACTAAATATAAAATATTAAAACATGATTACTACTACCATTTTCATAATACTAGAATTAAAAGTAAAAACAGTGTTTAATTAAAAGTAAATACTGTGTTTAATTAGTACTGTTTTCGAATTATATTATTCTTGATTTTGTCAAGAAAAAATATTCAAGTTGAAATTGACATTCTGAAAGTAACCCATCAGCTCATATTACAAAAAGCTATGGAAAAAGAAATTAAAGTTTATAGCAAGGAGAAGAAAGAAAGAAAAATTTGTCAAACTTAAATTTAGGAACAATTTATATTTTTATATTTAAAGTTGATTACAAATATAAAAAAAATGTATTATAATTTAATTTACTTCTAAAAATGCAGAGTTTAAAAAAAGTTAGAGCACTTAGTACAACAAACAAGGTAAATAGACATGTCAATACAATATATATATATATATATATATATATATATATATATTGTATATGTACCCAATTCAAACAATATTTTGTTAAAAATAAAAACATAAAAACTAATAAGAAAATATAATGTAATTATCCTTTTTAAGTGTTTTAAAAGTAATATTTAAAATACATTTTTTCATTATTTTGATAAGTATAATATAGAAAATTGAATTTTATTTTTAATTTTTATTAAAATATTTCATATACTATATACATCATCCATTAACACGTGTTATTAATAAAATTAAAGTAATATTCATAATACTATATAAAATAAATTATTAAAATAATAATATAATATATGTAACCCATATTTATTATTTTAACCAATTATCACATATAAGGGTACATGGATCTCAAACTCATGTATGGATTTTAAACTAGTTATGCTAAAGACCATGTGTTGATGCAACTTTCTCTTTTCCATCTTTATACATTTACTAGTAGATTTGCAAATTAAAAAAAAATTAATATAGTAATTTAATTTCTTTAATTTAATGGTTTAATTTATTTTGTTTTTTATTACTTTTAGTTTTAGTTTCATTTTTTTAATTTTTAATTTAATTATTTCAATATTAATATATATAACAATAATACTGACACATGTTAAATTGAATCAAAATGTTAGATAGAGAGACTAAATGAAAAACAACTATTATCATGAGATAATAATCTTGTATAAACATTGTCATATTATATTATCACCATCAAAAAGACTGCTACATTCAAGTGACATAATCATTAAGTCAATTTATGTTTTTCTTTTAAATTAAAAAATTAAAAAGTTTCATAAATTAACATATAAAAAAGTTAACATCAACTTAATAAAAAAAATACCAAATTAAACTTTTTAAAAAAATTATAAAACTAAATTGAACCTAAAAATAATAAGAAAATCAGAATGAAACTAATCAAGTAAATTACTAATTACATCTATTAAAAAACTTCAATTTCATCAGTTGTACAAATAAAAAAAAGTAATTTCTGAATTATACGTTTAAAGGTTAAAAATACTTTTAGATGTACAATTTAAAAAAGATTTTTTCCTTAAAAAACTTATAAATTGTATAATTTATAAGTAAAAAATAACTTTAAACAATGTTGTAACATCCCAAAAATACAGTCTAAATTATATAATAGAATAATCACCTTTAATAATATACAGACCAGTCACTAATAAGAGCGTACGGTTATGGTCGAACGGTCTTACAAAACAGTACGAGGAAATAAAGCCGTACGAAAGTACAATCCTGACCGAACAGTTTACAAAAGAAGAATACCGAACGATCATATTAAACAAAAGGGAAGGTGATCGAACGACTACCTTACTATAAACTAAACTACTGACCGAACGTCCTAATGTTCAGTCTTCACTTCAACCTCAACAAGGTTTTCTTTCTCTAGCGCCTCTTCCAGCAGCTCGTCTCCTTCTGCTCACATCCACACGGATGATCATTGCAATGACAAAGACGGACGTACAAAACAAGACAAGACAGGAAACACAGGGTAAGCTTATGTAATTTTATTCAGGTATAAACATACATTTCACACAATCAAACACACAAGATAAATTTCATCATACTTTTCATACAAAGCCTAATACTAGACTGACTGTCCAGACTGTATGAAATCTGTGTAGCTACGACGTTCGTGCACCCAGGTGATGTAGTAACTGGGATACCCTCAACAGCTGCCACCCGAGGTTAGTCCTATCTGTCCAAAGTAACCCTAAGGACTAGGACATCCTGTCGTTCCCACACATGACCTACCCTCCTCTACGTAAGGACAAGTACTCACGGAACATCAGGATGAACTGCCAGCTTAGCATGACCACATTCATACTTTACCAATTCCAATTTTCAACCATGAGTCATTCCTCCTCGGAACGCTCGTCCATAACTCAACACATTTTATCCATGTCACATTCTCTTCATCTTTCATTATCAATCATCTCAAGTTAACCAGTTGTACAAGGATCACTAAGGGTACTAAATACCGAACGTTCAACCACTAAACTCAAAACGAGACCAACACTTGGAGCGAGACCGAGAGGTCTTCAGTTCCAGAACGGATTAATATCAAAGAGGATTACCATCGGGTTGAGAAAGAAACCAAGTAAGATCATATATGACAAGAACTACTAGAACGAGTGTTACTTACAAAGTGAGTCAATTGCTAAAACTCTAGGCCGAAACCAATGAATACAAACACTTCAAAGAATAATACTTATAAAATTTACATGATGAAACCAAACGTTAATAAATATACTTAGCCACCAATAACAATCTGAATGTCAGTCAAAGACTGAACACTATAGTGAGCGACCCTATTGGGCTTGAACGAACGCTCTTATTATGAAGTTGAGGAACTAGAACGAGTGCATGATGTAAGACCAAACACTTGCTTAGAACGAACACTTGGTATAAGTGCTACTAAATTATAGAGAACAGGTTTGATAAATATAATGAGATACTATTTGAGTAGTGTTTAAGAATAACTAACACACACACACACACACACACATATATATATATATATATATATATATAAGTTTATCGTCGAATACCCAGACACAACTATACTTGGCCGAACGCTCAAGCATAGTATTACAACACGAAAACGCTCGTCCTCAACTAGGATCCTTCCCAAATGAAATAATCCAATTCTAACCAAGTTTACTAGCTACCGAACGGTTAATGACCGTTCAATGACGAACGTACACTATCATAGGGAAATTTCATATCCAGAACTCATTTATCTTCAACTTATTTTTTAACACATAGTTTCATAACTTTATAAATTCATATCATAATCAATTTTCATACTTCATATAATCCACATCATAGTAAATAATCATATTTCATATAAACAAGCATATCAGCATTCATACTTTATATACATTCAACCACTCAACAACATGCTTTCATTATCAACGAACGTACAAACAAACATACAATTAAATTAGATAAGCTTCCCTTACCTCTGAGCGTGAACGAACGTCCTAGAGACAGAATACGATTTGCTCGACTACAATTTCTTCTACCCTCACGCTCAACAATTCTTCAACTAGCCAAACAACAGACCAAAAATGGTTCAGAAAGGGACTATGAACGCATGCAACCATAACTTGGTTTGCATGTGCCAGAGAACGAACGTCTAAGGACAAAAATAACTTACCAGTTCAGAATTCGAAACCGATCGGTTCAAACTGAAGCTCTGGACGCCGGAAGTGATTCTACGGTGCCTGAACGGAGATCGGAGAAGAGAAAGGGTGAGATTTTGTAGAGAGAAGGGAGAGTTTTAGAGAGAAGGAGGAGAATTTGAGAAATTCAGAGTTTGGAGAAGAAGATGCATGCAGAGAGTGTGACGTAAACTTTCCAAAACTCAATTTTGCTTAAAACGAACGTCCGCTTATCTGGCGACACCTGCCTTCCACTATCTGATTTTCGGATCCTCGTTGCTTGACACCTGGCGTCCGTTCAGAGGGGTTTGAGTGCGTTTTTAATGATTCTGACAAATGTAATTCAAAAATAAAATAACTTGTAGATTATATATGTTAGAAGATAATTACTTTTTATTTACATATTATACAATTCAAACTTTATTTTTCATCCCAAACTATATAATCTAAGAATTGAGAGAGAAATCAGAGTGAGAATTAAGAAAATACACCTAATGTAACAATCAAAGGGAAAGAACGCGGCAACAAGTTAGCCTAAGTAGGAAAAGAAGGAACGGTGAGATAAGCTATTTTAGTTTGTTTAATTAATTGTATGTGAGATGATTTGTTTTTTCAATTTGCATGTTCGGGTGGACATTAATTGATTGTACGAGGAACAATGTTAATTAAATAATTTTCGCAACAAGTTAATAAAAGTGACACTAAGTTAAGAGCGAGCGTTTTCACAAATGAATCAACTAATAAAAACAACAAAGGTAAGAAATTATGCGAATAATGGACAATCAATTATAAGTTTCATTAACGTATATGAGGTATACAAAATAAGACAGATCTCCAAACAAGGTGGTATAATCCAAAAGCTTGTTTGAAGGGCAACCATCATGAATACATATGTCAAAAAACAAAATATGTCATAAAACCCACTTGAGATTTAAACAGTAAAATAATTATCGAAGACTTGAAAGATCCCTCCCAATCTCATTCTATATATAAGAAAATTTTGATACAAAGTAAGTAATAAATAGAATAACCTTAAAAACAATATAATGATGATAAATAGAGTAACTCTAGACACAATATAACGATGATAAATAAGGTAACTTTCGACACAATATAATAATGATAAAAAGGGTAACTATAGACACAATATAATGATGATAAATAGAGTAACTCTAGACACACTATGATGATAAATAGGGTAACCCTAGACAAAATCTAATGATGATAAATTGGATAAATATCATAACAATGATAAATAGGGTAAATACTCTAACAATGATATATAGGGTAAATATGTTAACACTCACCCTCAAACTAAAGCATACAAATTGTATGTACCAAGCTTGGAATAGATAAACTCAATCTGAGATATCTTTAGGAAATTAGAAACTTCAACTTATAACAAGATGCACATATGCTTCAGACCATCGAGAAAGAATGTCTATAAACCAAATTGGACTCACAATTCAACATAGCCAAAGAGACTCCTCTTGAAATATAGGACTCATCTTCAGAGGTGTGCAGTAAACCGATGACAATGGTCAGCGAATAGCAAAAGTGCAAAAAACTGTTGGGAATCCAAGTGTGAGTCCAAAGTCTCACATTAGATATAAATGACAAAGTAGAGCACTATATAAAGATATAAAGATGAAAGATCCATGGAAGATTATTGGGAATCCAAGTGTGAGTCCAAAGTCCCACGTTGGATAGAAATGACAAAGTAGAGCACTATACAAAGATGAAAGACCAATTGCCTTAAGGTTTTGGGTAAAGAGTGATATCAATCCCTTATATGGTTGGGCTCATGTCTCATTAGTATTGTGTCTCCCGCGTGAACCTTCTCCTCAATAAACCCAACAAAAACACAAGGAATGAAAGGACAAAACTGCAAGAACTGCCATCATTGATTGATGGTGCATGCAAGATTCTGAATTTTTAAAAAGATTTTTTCCTTAAAAAATTATAAATTGTATAATTTATAAGTAAAAAATAACTTATAAACCATATAATTCAAAAATTCAACAATAAAATAACTCTTAGATTATATATTTTAGAAGATAGTTACTTTTTATTTACATATTACACAATTCAAACATTATTTTTGCCTCCCAAAATATATAATATAGGAAAGCACAAAATGATTTATTTTTTATATAAAATGCAGGAAGAAACATATGGAGGTGCAAGCGGCCCATGAATAGGCCCATAGTGCAAAGATATATGAAAAGGGAAAGTTAGGGTTTATAGCGAAAAAAAAGAAGGTAACCAAGAGATAACTGTGTGGGATTGTTGGCCGAGCCTCCATTGCCTCTCTTCAACCTTCTGATAATGGTACGATCTTGAATTCTGGATGGCCAATACTTTTCGTTACTCAGTTAAAATTTGATTCTTATGTTTGCTTCCGTTTTTGTTTGTTCAGATCATTCCGGAGAAGAACCGTAAGGAGATCTGCAAATACCTCTTCCAAGGTAGGTGTCTCAGTGTTTATCCCCGATAATCTTGGTTCGTTAGGGTTTTAACTCGTTGAGTAATCTGAGATTGTTTATGGTGCAGAGGGAGTTTGCTATGCGAAGAAGGACTTCAATTTGGCGAAGCACCCTGAGATTGATGTGCCTAATTTGCAGGTGATTAAGCTGATGCAAAGCTTCAAGTCCCGCGAGTACGTGAGGGAGACCTTTGCTTGGATGCATTATTACTGGTTCCTCACCAATGATGGCATCGAGTTTCTCAGAACTTACCTTAACCTTCCTTCCGAAATTGTCCCTGCCACTTTGAAGAAACAGGCCAAGCCACCTGGCAGACCCTTTGGTGGCCCATCCGGTGATCGCCCTAGGTATGTCAATAAGATCACTGTTGTAATTGATTGAATAATATCGTAGTACAAAGCAATAAACCATATATCTATAGGATAAGTGTTGTACTAAGTGAAGTGTTATGACCTTACATAACTGAATACAAGGGACGCAATACAAGCCAATCCAACTGAGCTAAACTAACTACTTTTTCTACTAGTTGGATGTCATGTGGATGATCTGTGTTGCTTTGAACAGGGGTCCACCTCGCTTTGAAGGCGAGCGGAGGTTTGGTGGTGATCGTGACGGATATCGTGGAGGTCCCCGGGGACCTGGTGGAGACTTTGGAGGAGATAAAGGAGGAGCTCCTGCTGACTACAGGCCCTCTTTTGGGGTAATTCCATTGTCAATGCAGTTCTACTGTTGTTTACTGTTGTGCATAGTCATCATGGTTGCCGTTTGTTTTTGGCCTAGTTTTCATCATCATGATTGCTGTTTGTTGTTTAGTTTTTAACTAAATAGAACTTTTAACTTTTATGACTATTTGTTTTCAAGCTCTTACAAATGAATAGGTGCTTGATGTGCAGGTTAAAGTTAACTTTTTTTCAAGAAAGGTTGATTCATTCGCTATATTTTTTTATTTTTCTCTTGCAAGCTCTTGGTGATAAGTTTACTCGAATAGATTGAGTCTATTTGATTATAATTTCCCATGATTCGCACCTTTTAGTCGCAGAAAATGTGAAACTAAGTCCTTTGTTGGGAACCCATCTATGTCATGCAAAATGTGCAATCTTTTCTTCAGTTAGGCAATGCAAATAAGTTATTTCCTGCAGTTTTGAAAGCTTGAGGATTAAGTGATCAATAGTGTGATGTGATTAATGCACATTTCGGAAGGTTTTATGATTAATGCACAATAGTGTGATGGCTGTGTCCTTGAAGCTGTACAATTAAAATGTTGATAACCATGCTTGCATCCTCTATGGACATTTCATTTTTGGCAGCAAACAATATATAGAATGTTTTTGGTCTCTTTTCATTCGGTTGTTTTCCCCCTCCACTTATCAATTGGTTTGCCATATTGCAGGGATCTGGAGGAAGGCCTGGCTTTGGTCGTGGATCTGGTGGTTTTGGGGCGCCAACCAGCTCAAATATTCCTTAAGTATTATGTTTTGTGCTTTATTTTTTGCTTAGTTTTCTAGAATATTGCCCTCTCCTATAGATTGTTTTATGGGCTTGACAATTACTTTATATCCAGTTTTACTTTCACTGAAGATTTTGATTTGAGTGTTTCTGCTAATTTGTGGCCTTCTCTTTCATCACCATTTTATTCCAACTTCAAATGCCTGCAATACATAGTATTTTATTCTCTACATTGTAATGGACAAATTTAATATATAATAAAATAGTTAAGATTAATAAAAAGGTTAAATTTAAAGAAAACAGTCGCTTAAAGGTTAAAATATACTTAAAAGTTAAAATATCGATGCAGATAGTTATTTTAATTTTAGAAAACTTTTATTCAAATGTTAAAATTGAGAAACAATATATATGTATTATATATATATATATATATATATATATGAACTAATATTCAAGTTTGAAAAATAAACGTAAAAAATTATAAATGCTGTGAGGTAATTTATCGAATTGACACCGTAAAAAATGACTAAGATAGAGTAGGTATAGGGATTATTATGACTCCTAGAAGTAGTAATAATCGTATATCTATTTTTTTTATTTATAGGTGAAGGGAAAAGAAAAATATAAAAATGGAAATTAAGAAAAACTGATGAGTGTTGTTGGTTCAAATAGTTGAAGGGAAAAGAAAAATATGAAAAAGGAAATTAAGAAAAACATGAGTGTTGTGGTTCAAGCTACACTTTTAATCTTTTTTTCGTTATAGTTCTTCAATCTGTGATAAAAAAAATCGAGATAGGTTTCCCTATATAACATTTTATTATAATAATCAACAAGTTGGTTTGAACTTTGTCCTTTCAAACAATATTTTAATTTCTGTATTTGGTGAATGGAAGCAACGACATTGTGATAGAGAATTCCATTAGAGATGTTTTATATTATCCAGTGCTGTTAGGGATGAATCATAGACATAATCGCTGAATATTTTATACTGATAAAATAATTTAAAAGATTGATATAACAACATTACCCTTTAATTCAGTTTACATTTCTTTTAACAAACATTAAATACATGAATGTTATTTGATGCTTCAACAACAAAAAGAATTTAAAGATCTTTATTATGGATGTTTATTGGTACAGTGAATATAAAAATATATAACTAATTAAATTGAGTGATATTATTAGTTTAATTTAATTCAATCTAAATGAAATTAATTAAATTTAATCATACTTATTTATGAAATTTGCGATTTACTGTAGATAAATAAAATTTTATTTCGTGCTCTAACCCCGCGACAATTGTTTAATTGGGCTGGTTTCGTTTGGGTAAGAATATTTTTTATTAAAATAATGATTTTTTTAAACGGATTAAAAAATAAAATGTGAAGTATGTGATTACGATCGATAAAATAAATTAAATGGACTCTTAGAAACTAAAATCCTAAATCTTTAAGGTATCTTGTGTATAGTATGAAATATTAACCGAGCGGTTACAAACAACCAACCGGATATTTAGGTAATCTGTTTATATCTTATTCTGTTTATATTTTATTGGGCTTATATCAGCTCAGGATCCATGAGGTAAATTATAAATACAAAGCCAGGGCCAAAAGCCAGGTACGTTCAACTTACTCTACATGACTCTCAAATACTCAATAGTGATAATCATTCACTAAATATTCAACCGAGCCGAGGCTCTTCAAATCACACGCCTAACTTGGGCGTCGGAGTACCTTTTGCAGGTACATCCCCCTCGTCAAGAAGGAGACCGATCGGTTTGCGCCAACACCGATCGGCCAACAGGAGGAGTTTGGAAGCGAGCGAGCGGCCCAGACGCATCAGCAGGTTAGTCTCTCGGTCCCTAAAAATATCCACCGAAATATTTTGGCGCCCACCGTGGGGCCGAGCGTCAAACCCAATAAAATATAAACAGAATAAGATATAAACAGATTACCTAAATATCCGGTTGGTTGTTTGTAACCGCTCGGTTAATATTTCATACTATACATCTTGTATCATTAGTGTAAATAAATATAAAAAGTAGACAAATAAATATTTAGAATACAGATATTTTAGAGAAATTTAAATCAGCAATTTTTTAAAGAAATGTTTTTGTGAGTAAAAAAAAATTCAGATTTATTAATAAAGTAATAGAATATATGTGATATAACTGAATTTATTGAATTGTAAAAAATATATTATTTTAAAAAAAATTATCTAATAAATAATTTATAGATTAATAAAGGTATAAATAAAAAAAATACCTTAACTAAATATATCAGAATCTATTTATTATTTATAGACTATAAATTATATTTTTCAAAGAGTAAGAATTATTTTCATGGATAAAATGTAGGATGATTATTCAAGTAGATACAGGACACAAGAGCAATGAAATATATACTTTATATTGGAATATGTTAACTCATTAATTTATATTTATTTCAAAATTTAATAAATCACTTGCAATTTGATAGAAACATTACAAATTCAAATTGTACTTACAGTTTCGGTACAGCCAGTTATTCTTAGAGATTAATGAAGGGTCACATAATAATAATAATAATAATAATAATAATAATAATAATAATAATAATAATAATAATAATAATAATAATAATAATAATAATAATAACTACTTTTTCTTTTTCAAATAAAAGTCACACTCATTATAAAATACATAGAAATTACCGTTTACTATACAATGACTTTAATTTAATTATTATTTTTTCTGTATGAAACTTAATGAATGATCACAAAATATTTACATTTATCTTACTCTAAAGAAGAGAAAGTGGTAATCGTATAATATTTCATACAATATTTTTATTTATCTTACTCTAACATTATTTTTTATTAATCTCGCCATTATCAGGAAATATAGTAGTAAACAATATGAAGTGAGATAGATAAATACAATTTTTTTTATAGAGTATTATATTTTATCTGAAAAAGATGAGGAAAACCGGAGCATACACAACTTTGAATATGAAACATATCTTATTCACTAGATAAGTGACATTATGATAATATATTATGAAAGCTACATTGTCCTTATCTTTCTGAAACATCTTAGTAATACACAGCTCAGAATTAAAAGAAAAACAAATCTGCTTATGTAACTGTCTTTTGCAATCTTTCTGTTAAAAAAAGTAATCCTTATTATAATACTTCTTAATAAATTTGACAACCTTTAAATGAATCTAAATAAGATTTTAATTAAATACAAATGATAAAAACTGACAATAAAATATTATATTTAAAATAAAATTTTTATTTAATTTATCTTTATTTTATATCAACAAAATAAAACAATATTATACTTAAACAAATAAAAAATCAAAACTACCTCTTTTTATCTTATCTCTTTCAAAATTAAAATAAATATTATTAAACCAAAACTAATAAAATAAGATTTAATCAAAATAATTAATAAACCTATAAAATTTAACACTCTCTCCATGGTATCATTCGGCTGAAGGAAGACAGAAAAAATGAGCAGAAAAACAATGGATCGATAAAACAGAGGAAAGGGAACAAAGAATATAAAATTGAAGAATAGAAATCAGCGGCAACGCAACCATACTTGAAAGGGTAAGAACATTATATTTTATTCATTCATTGGACCAAGTGGCTCACTGTAGGGTTTTATTTTTGTGCCACTCCAAAACCCTTTAATGTCCTAAGCTAACTACTGCGTTTTGTTTTTCTTCCTTTCTACTTCATTCACGCCCACTGCTCGGTTCCCTTTTCAAAGTTTTTATTTCCCCCCCACTTTTTTCTGTTTTAGAGTTACCCAACACTTGATCGAGGACATGGCGGCTGTCAAGGAATTTGGGGTGTCTCAATTCGTGCAGGTTTGATTTTATTCCATCTCTTTGAATTAACATCGTATGATGAATCCTTTTAATTCATGAAATGTTGTTTTGGGTTTCATGCTTTGATGTTGTATTAGCATGTTTTTGATTCGTTGGAGGTTTGTACTTTTGCCATATGTGCTTTAATTTGTCAGTTTTTCGTAGATCACTAGGTGCTGCGTGTTTAATTTATCAGATGAAGTGCAGCGGTGTTTCATGGGTCTTCCCTTTCCCTTGTGTTTTTTTCCCCTTTATTGTTGTACTAACGTATTGGGTTGACTCTGGAGTTTGCATCGTTGACATGACTTTGCGTTTTTTAACTTTGTCACTGACTAGTTGGTGAGCATGTTTAATTTGGCAATTTAAAATGCATCTTTGCTTATGGGTTTTGTGATTTTGGTTCCAGGGTACATCTAGGCAAACTTTGTTTTTGAAGAAGAAGCCTCATAGACAGAGAAATCACATGCTATGGGGTACGCTTTGGAATAGGAATTGGGCTCTGGGATCAACTCGAAGAGCTTTGCATTTAAGGTGTCAGGCTCAAGAAAATCCCAGAGCTGTGGTTTCTGGGAGTATGAGCTCTTCTGTGGAAGAACAGCCTGGCTTGGTTCAGAAGCCTGCTTCAGAAGTTGATCATTTGTACCGAGTCCCATTTATGCAAGAAAGTGCAGCTGCCGAGCTTCTAGAGGAAGCTCAAGTGAAAATATCTAGTCAGATTGTGGAAATACAAACGGAGCAATGCTATAATATTGGCCTTAGTTCACACCTTTCCACTGGAAAATTTTCAGTTCTTAAATGGCTTCTTCAAGAAACTTTTGAGCCTGAGAATCTTGGAACCGAGAGCTTTCTTGAGAAGAAGAGGAAGGAGGGTTTGATTCCAATTATAGTTGAGGTTGGTCCCAGGTTGTCATTTACCACAGCGTGGTCTACTAATGCTGTAACAATTTGCCAAGCCTGTGGATTGACAGAAGTGACTCGTTTGGAACGGTCAAGGAGGTACTTGTTATTCACCACAAGTGAGCTGCAAGATCATCAAATCAGTGAATTTGCATCTATGGTGCATGATAGGATGACCGAGTGTGTTTATTCTCAGAAGCTAACATCCTTTGAGACCAGTGTTGTTCCTGAGGAGATTCGTTATATACCTGTTATGGAGAAGGGACGAAAGGCATTAGAAGAGATTAATTTGGAGATGGGTTTCGCCTTTGATGACCATGATTTGGAATATTACACCAAACTTTTCAGAGACAACATAAAGCGCAACCCAACCAATGTAGAGTTGTTTGATATTGCTCAATCCAACAGTGAGCATAGTAGACATTGGTTTTTTACCGGAAAGATTTTTATTGATGGGCAGCTTATGGATAAAACTCTAATGCAGATTGTGAAAAGTACTTTGCAGGCAAATCCCAACAATTCAGTTATTGGCTTTAAGGATAACTCAAGTGCAATCAGGGGTTTCCCAGTGAAGCAGCTCCGCCCAGTTCGGCCTGGTTCATCATGTCCACTAGAAGTTGCAGTACGTGAGTTAGATATCTTGTTTACAGCTGAAACACATAATTTTCCGTGTGCAGTGGCACCTTATCCTGGTGCAGAGACAGGTGCAGGAGGTCGCATTAGGGATACACATGCTACAGGAAGAGGGTCCTTTGTTCAGGCAGCTACAGCTGGTTATTGTGTTGGAAATCTCAACACATCAGGTTTTTATGCTCCATGGGAAGATCCCTCCTTTACTTATCCATCAAATTTGGCACCTCCTTTACAGATTCTTATAGATTCTAGTAATGGTGCATCTGACTATGGCAACAAATTTGGAGAACCATTGATTCAGGGTTTCTGTAGAACTTTTGGAATGAGACTTCCTAGTGGGGAAAGGCGAGAATGGTTGAAGCCAATCATGTTCAGTGCAGGCATTGGACAGATAGACCACCTTCATATATCAAAGGGAGATCCTGACATTGGGATGCTGGTTGTCAAGATTGGAGGCCCAGCTTATCGCATTGGCATGGGAGGTGGAGCAGCCTCAAGCATGGTCAGTGGGCAGAATGATGCAGAGCTTGATTTCAATGCTGTGCAACGTGGGGATGCTGAGATGGCTCAAAAACTATATCGTCTTGTTCGTGCATGTATTGAGATGGGGGATAAAAATCCAATTATTAGCATTCATGATCAAGGTGCTGGTGGTAACTGCAATGTTGTGAAGGAAATTATATATCCAAAGGGTGCTGAGATAGATGTCCGAGCAATTGTGGTTAGTGATCATACGATGTCTGTTCTAGAAATTTGGGGAGCAGAGTATCAGGAGCAAGATGCAATCTTGGTGAAGCCTGAAAGTCGTGATCTCTTGGAATCAATCTGTAGCAGGGAAAAAGTTTCAATGGCAGTTATTGGAACTATCAGCGGTGATGGACGTGTTGTGTTGGTTGATAGCTTGGCAACTCAGAAGAGTATTTTGCATGGACTTCCTCCACCTCCTCCTGCAGTTGATCTTGAACTGGAGAAAGTCCTTGGTGACATGCCCAAAAAATCTTTTAAATTTAATCGGGTCGTCTATGAGCGAGAGCCACTTGATATTGCACCTGGGATTGCAGTGATAGATTCTCTAAAGAGGGTACTGAGTTTACCATCCGTCTGTTCGAAACGCTTCTTAACTACAAAAGTTGATAGGTGTGTTACTGGTCTGGTGGCACAACAACAAACCGTTGGCCCTTTGCAGATCCCCCTTGCTGATGTTGCTGTTACAGCTCAAACTTTTAATGATTTGACTGGAGGTGCTTGTGCCATTGGAGAACAACCAATCAAAGGCCTGTTAGATCCCAAAGCAATGGCTCGGTTGGCGGTTGGAGAAGCATTAACAAATCTTGTATGGGCACAGGTCACTTCCCTTTCTGATGTCAAGGCTAGTGGTAACTGGATGTATGCTGCCAAGCTTGATGGGGAAGGAACTGACATGTATGATGCTGCCATAGCTTTATCTGAAGCAATGATTGAACTTGGCATTGCTATCGATGGAGGGAAAGACAGCCTTTCTATGGCAGCCCATGCTGAAAAAGAAGTTGTCAAGGCTCCCGGAAATCTTGTCATCAGTGTTTATGTTACTTGTCCTGATATAACAAAAACAGTAACACCAGATTTAAAACTCAAGGATGAAGGTGTTTTGCTTCATATTGATTTGTCAAGAGGTAAGAGGCGGTTAGGAGGATCTGCTCTTGCCCAAGCATTTGACCAAGTTGGGGATGACTGTCCTGATCTTGATGATGTTCCTTATCTTAAAAAGGTATTTGAAGGTGTTCAAGATCTTCTTACTGATGAACTGATTTCTGCTGGTCATGATATTAGTGATGGTGGGCTTCTTGTCTGTGCATTAGAGATGGCATTTGCTGGTAATTGTGGACTTAGTTTGAACATGACATCTCAAGGTAACAGTCTCTTCCAAACACTCTATGCTGAAGAGCTTGGTTTAGTTCTTGAAGTAAGCAAGAAAAATCTGGCTTTGGTAATGGATAAATTAAACAATGTGGGAGTTGCAGCTGAAATCATTGGTCAAGTAACAGCCAATCCATCTATAGAAGTCAAGGTTGATGGCGAGACTTGTTTATCTGAAAAAACTAGTATCCTTAGAGACATGTGGGAGGAGACCAGTTTTCAACTTGAAAAGTTTCAAAGACTAGCATCTTGTGTGGATATGGAGAAAGAAGGACTGAAACATCGGTATGAGCCCTCATGGGATCTGACCTATCTTCCTGTTTTCACTGACAAAAACTTTTTGCTTGCAACTACAAAACCTAAAGTGGCTGTGATTAGAGAAGAAGGGAGCAACGGAGATAGAGAAATGGCTGCAGCGTTTTATGCTGCTGGTTTTGAGCCATGGGATATTACTATGTCAGACCTTCTCAATGGAAAGATTTCTTTGCATGAGTTCCGTGGAATTGTGTTTGTTGGTGGATTTAGCTATGCTGACGTGCTTGACTCCGCAAAAGGTTGGTCTGCTTGCATAAAATTTAATGAACACGTTTTGCAACAATTTCAGGAGTTTTACAAACGTCCAGACACTTTCAGTCTTGGTGTATGCAATGGGTGTCAGCTAATGGCTTTGTTAGGGTGGGTACCAGGTCCTCAAATTGGAGGTGTGCATGGTGCTGGTGGTGACCTATCTCAACCAAGGTTTATTCATAACAAGTCAGGGAGGTTTGAATGCCGCTTTACAAGCGTGACCATAAAGCCCTCACCGGCTATAATGTTCAGTGGCATGGAGGGTAGCACATTGGGTATATGGGCTGCTCATGGTGAGGGAAGAGCTTATTTTCCAGATGAAGGTGTGTTTGACAGAATAGTTCACTCTGACCTAGCTCCTGTAAGATATTGTGATGATGCTGGGAATCCGACAGAGGCATACCCTTTCAATGTGAATGGCTCTCCCTTAGGGGTAGCAGCTATTTGTTCCCCAGATGGGAGGCATCTTGCCATGATGCCTCATCCAGAGCGTTGCTTCTTAATGTGGCAGTTCCCATGGTACCCAAAGCACTGGCACGTGGAGAAGAATGGGCCTAGTCCTTGGTTGCGCATGTTCCAGAATGCAAGAGAGTGGTGTTCTTGAAATTATATAATGTTGCTTTTCATTTTCCCATAAAGTGCTTTCCTTGTTTTAGTTGATGACTTTTCCATCTCTCTCATCAATAATGAATTGACAGGTTACTCCACAAATCTGCACTTTACTCTATGTAGAATTTCACATGCAAGACAGCTTTCTAGTAGAAAGCTTGGGAATTTTCAATACCCCTCTGTATATTGCTTTTTTATTTAATTGTTGATGTCAGAAAATAAAACAAGTTAAAATGCTTGATCAGTGGAATGAACTCGATTGGTCCGAAAATGGCTTCATGATTAAGTCTTGACAGTTGGTAAATATAATGATTATTGGCTGATAAAAATCGCAAGCGGTAGTGCAAGTGTATATGCATAAATATTGCGTGGCCTAAACTGAAAAAGAAAGCTTAACCCTATTAAAGCTTATTATTCTTTGTGTATGAAGCTAGCCCTTATCCTCTGCAACCTGGTGTACGTCCTACCTATGACCTATTTTTGTTTTTTCTGGAATTGAGTCTAGAAACCAAACATCCGTTCTCTCTGCATCTTTCTCTTTCCAAGTCACCACTGTTAAGACAACTCTTACATGAATTTTGTTCTGTTGAGTGATTTTTGATTTTATTGCATCTTTCTTTTTCCAAGTCACCACTGTTAAGACAACTTTTACATGAATTTGGTTTCGTTCAGTGACTTTTGATTTTACTTTATTCTTTTTGAAGTTTAATTCTTATGTGTGTAGACCTTAGATTTAAGATGTGCAATTGAAACATGATGTTGGCGACATGTAAATTAATGGTTATGTTATTGCATAAAATTCAGTTCATGAGGAACACAACTTCTGTTCAGCTTTCATCATTGGGCGATTAAAGTTCCAAACTTTGTAGCAATCACCATTTCTGTGACTTCTTGGTGGGAATCAGAAAGATATGACACTATTGGTCTCATTTACTGTTTTTTTTTATTGTAGCTGCCTACAATTATGGAAACTTATTATCAATGTTCAAGTAATCAAAGGGATGTAATGCCTATGTTGTGTCTTAGGGAGCCTTTGCATAATCTATATACACCAATTTTGGCAAGCAATATGACATTGTATATGAACTCTGCTACATGTTCTGAAATTGATGGAAACCCATTTAGGGCATTCCATTCAAAGGAGTACCAACTTAAGCTAAGGTTAAGAAAGGGAAGTTGAAGAAGGACTTTTAAAGGCTCTTTCTTGATTTTCTTTCTCTAAGTCTTAGAAGGATTCTTTTTAATACTTATATGGTTGTTTTGTAGGGTCTAATAAAGCTTGGAGACCATGGTTGAGCCACCCAAAAAGCATGTGAAGCCAAGGAAAGCAAAGGAGCTAAAAAGGGGAGAAAAAGAGGTGATTTCCGGATTTCCTCCATTTTCTATTTCATTTCTGCATTCTGTTATGCTTTCTGTTTCAGATTTCCAGCTTCTGTTTTGACTTTCTTTTCAGTCTGTTTTGCTATTTCCAGTCACTATTGTTGTGTTTCCATTGTGTAATCATGTTTATCTTTCATTTTAAACGGTGAATCTTCTTTGCTTGAGTCATTTTCAGCCTTATTTTTCAATTTCAAGTTTGTCACAAGTCATGTGCACATTCTGATGCAGTTTTAATTCTGTTTGTTCCAGTATTAATCTGTTCTGCTGTGTTTTTTCGGTTTGCTTGAGTTTAGAGTGCTGGAAAAGCTTTAAATCAACCAATTAAGGCAATGAGAACATGTTCTAGCCTTGGTGATATAAGCAAAAGCACTAGAAACTGATTCTGGTTTCAAATTTGCTCAAGAAATTCAATTCTGGTTTAAATCCTTAAATCTGTTTCAGTTGGTTTGCCTTTGATTCTGAAGCTTGGTACAACATTGTTTAGTGTTGTTGAATGTGTCTTAAGGTGTGGCAAACCAGAATAAGCAATGAAATGCAATATGCATAGCTTGGTTGCTCAAAATCCTTAGCAATTCACTGTTTCAGATTTGAATTCTGGCTTTTCACCGTGCTCAATTTATTTGAATTGTGTAATCTGAGTTTGGTCATGCTAAGCATCTCAATTCTAGCTTAGTTCAGTAGAGTTACGTCTTCTTGAGTCATTTTAATTGTTGTCCAGCCTTTTGATTCTTTGAAAACTGATTTTGGGTGGTACAATGGTGTATTTTCCTGCATAAATTGGCTATAGCAAGGGTGATTTTCGAATCTTGTTGTTTCTGTGCTTTTGGAAAGCTCGAACAAGTTTAAATTGATATTTGAAAGTTGCTAGCACTGTTCATTTGGTCAAATTTTAGCCTATATGCAGATTTGGTCTTTAAGCCATCACTTTTTGAGTTAAAAGGGAAGTGAACCAGTGATTTTGAGTTTTAAACAGTTTCTGAGTTGTTTAAGAGTTTGAACACACTTAAAATCATCAAGCAAAGTGTTTGGTCACGCACGTGAGCTGTTGAATCACTTCCACTCGTTTTTGGGTTTAAAACCACCATTTCAGTCCACTTTTCTGGTGCAGAATTTCAATTTCAGCCACTATTTGGTTTTTAACTTTGCATAATTCAATTCTGGATTGGTAAAAGCTGGTTCAATGTTTAAAAATGATATTAAATGATCAAAAGAAGTATAATCCAGTGATAAAAAGCATATAGAACTTTGCAATCCAGATTAGAAGTCCAGAAATTCAAAAATTCAAAAATTCAAAATCTGAAATTCATTGGGACATTTTATCAAACACCTTTGCAAAATATCAAACAGTTTGGGTCTGGACTTGGTTTAATCTGTGATTTTGATTTCTTTGCTTTCTTAATCTGTTCGAGCACTTTTCTTAGGATCCATTTGAGTGCCTACTTCTGTTCTAAACCTATTTTTATTGCTTTTAAGCTTTTTGGCCTCTTAAATTGTCCAATTCAAGTCAAATTTTGGTGTTGAAACTGGTGCAGATTTCTAATCTGTTTGGTGACTGTTTTGGATGATTTTGATGGTGTTGTGAAGTCCTTTTGGAGCATTCAAGTTACAGAAACCTTCCCCTACCAAGGTAGCCTCTTAGGAAGTGTAGAAGGAGCAGAATTTGTGATTTCAAAGGGGCTGTCCAGCAAGCAAACTTTGCACTTTCCAGCAGCATAAAACACTGAAAATTGCCAACTCATATAGCCAAATTTTGAGAGACCAGTTCCATACCAAAGTGAATGAGAGATTGAGTGTTTAGAACCTAAAAGAAACTTGCTAGAGCACCTTAAAACAGTTCAGAAGTGAGATTTGAGTGGTTGCACCTAAAGCCAAATAGCTTTGGCCGTGAGAAATACTGCATATATTCCAATGCTGAAAAGTTCAATTTCTTGAATCTGATTTGTGCTATTCAATAGGCCTATGCAGTTTTTGTTTTGCAAGGCAATGCCAATGATCAAAAAGATTTTTGAAACACCTGTTTGAACTGGTTTTTGCAATTGAAGAATTAATTTTCTCAATTGGAGCATTAGCTTTTCTTTGATATAACAGTGCAGGTCTGAAAATGAATGGTGATCTTCAAGGAGATGCAAATGTATCTATCTAAGCTGAAGTGCTACTGATTTGAAGAGAAAGTAATTGGATTAGTGCAAGGTTTTGTTTAGCGACTTTAGATTTTATTTTCTTCCTTTTGAAGCTTAATTATCATGTGTAATGCTTGGTACACCTGAGATTGAAGATCTGCAATTGAAGCATGATGGTGACATGCTATTTAATGGCTATGTTACTGCGTACAATTAGTTCATTTCAGCAGGCTTTTCTAGGAGGGAATCAGAAAAGTTTAGGCAGTATTTCTCTCATTTAGTTAACATTTCTCTATTTAATATGTTTTTAAGGCTTAAAATCATGCAATGTATACAAAATAAAGTAGATAAGGGAAGAAAATGTATGATAGGAAGTTCTTATATTTCTGATAAATGAAGATGTTCTTTGTATGTTTACATAAAAAGTCTAATGGCTTTGAATACGTTTTACAACTGCACCCTAAATTACACCTAGTAAAACTTGAAAACAAACCTACGTAAAAAAACTACTGCAAAAATTAATTTATTAAAGATTTTAACAGAAAATTTAAAACATGCAAAAACATAACGGATTAAATCAATATGTATGTTAAAAATATATAAATAATAATTTTTTAAAAAATATAGGAAAGACAAGCATAAAATAAGAGATCAGAGGAGTAATTAGTTTAAATCGTGAAATGGGACAATGTAAGTGGGGAAGACATGGAGGAATTTAATTTGGATATAAACCAGAAAGAAGAGAAATTTTAGGGGTAAAATTATTTAGAAATGCAAAATTAACGTTAGAGAAGTGATTTATTCCCCTAAATAATACCATGTTTAAGAAATTTCTTCAAATAAATTCGGTAAAATATAATATTCTTTCATATGGATCTATTTATTGTAGTAGTTGGAATTAAGCTTTTGGAGACTTCACTTTTCAACCGACTGTCTGTAAAAGAAAATTATTTAAAATATTGAGATTAAATTCTGTTTGTTTTAAGAGAAACAAATAAAAAAATAATAATTTAAGGGTGAATAAATTTCAATTTTGTAGTATAGTTTAGAATAAAATTTTTTATTATGTAAAAAATGAATGAAAAATGAAAAAGAATTAAAATTTTACAACATTATAATTTTTGTTATTATTATTTGTTTACATAGTTTTTATTATAATATTTTTCTTAAATAAATGATAAAAAGTTTAATTTCAAATTATATTACAAAATAAAAGTTTATTCACCTTTAAATTATTCTTTTATTAATTATAATTTAAACTCAATATTTTTAAGTTACCTTTTCAGAATTTTAATTTTAGTTTTTAATTTTTAATTTTTTTCCTTCCCAGTTTAGAAAAACAAAAATGAAATAAAATAAAATAAAAATAAAAAAATTCCTTTTGAATTTGATTTCCAAAACGTCGAATTTTGAAAAAAATTGTAACCGGATATTAAAAATTCAATTAAAAAATTCCACACTTTTAAAACTGAATTTTAAACTCCTATTTAGAAAATTATATTTTAGTACATCTATTTAAGAAGAAAATTAAAAAAATTATTTTGGAAAAAATAATCTGTGTGTTTATAAGTAAATCACTAAAATAACTATAGCAAACAAATTTTCATAAGTGTTATATATATTATTTTTATGCAATTATTATTAATTTGAGTGAACTAATATTTAAGTTGAAAACATAAACATAAGAACGTACAAACGTTGTGAAATAATTTATGGAATCCATTGACTGACACAGTAAAATGTGATTAAGATACTAGAAATTGATATAGGTATTATTAGGACCCTTTTTTTTTATGTATATTTGGAGTGAAAAGAAAAATGTATTATTGATGTTTGGTGCTACACTGAATATAAAATTAAATATAAATAAATAAATTGAGTGAAATTATTAGTTTGATTGAATTCCATCTAAATCAAATTAATTGAATTTAGTTATACTTATTTATGAAATTTGTGATTTACAAATTCTATCAATTTTAATTATAAAATAAATAAATTATGAAAATTATTTTATAATTGATTATTATGTATTATTTTAATCTTTTGGTACAGTCATATATATATATATATATATATATATATATATATATNTTGTTTTGTAGGGTCTAATAAAGCTTGGAGACCATGGTTGAGCCACCCAAAAAGCATGTGAAGCCAAGGAAAGCAAAGGAGCTAAAAAGGGGAGAAAAAGAGGTGATTTCCGGATTTCCTCCATTTTCTATTTCATTTCTGCATTCTGTTATGCTTTCTGTTTCAGATTTCCAGCTTCTGTTTTGACTTTCTTTTCAGTCTGTTTTGCTATTTCCAGTCACTATTGTTGTGTTTCCATTGTGTAATCATGTTTATCTTTCATTTTAAACGGTGAATCTTCTTTGCTTGAGTCATTTTCAGCCTTATTTTTCAATTTCAAGTTTGTCACAAGTCATGTGCACATTCTGATGCAGTTTTAATTCTGTTTGTTCCAGTATTAATCTGTTCTGCTGTGTTTTTTCGGTTTGCTTGAGTTTAGAGTGCTGGAAAAGCTTTAAATCAACCAATTAAGGCAATGAGAACATGTTCTAGCCTTGGTGATATAAGCAAAAGCACTAGAAACTGATTCTGGTTTCAAATTTGCTCAAGAAATTCAATTCTGGTTTAAATCCTTAAATCTGTTTCAGTTGGTTTGCCTTTGATTCTGAAGCTTGGTACAACATTGTTTAGTGTTGTTGAATGTGTCTTAAGGTGTGGCAAACCAGAATAAGCAATGAAATGCAATATGCATAGCTTGGTTGCTCAAAATCCTTAGCAATTCACTGTTTCAGATTTGAATTCTGGCTTTTCACCGTGCTCAATTTATTTGAATTGTGTAATCTGAGTTTGGTCATGCTAAGCATCTCAATTCTAGCTTAGTTCAGTAGAGTTACGTCTTCTTGAGTCATTTTAATTGTTGTCCAGCCTTTTGATTCTTTGAAAACTGATTTTGGGTGGTACAATGGTGTATTTTCCTGCATAAATTGGCTATAGCAAGGGTGATTTTCGAATCTTGTTGTTTCTGTGCTTTTGGAAAGCTCGAACAAGTTTAAATTGATATTTGAAAGTTGCTAGCACTGTTCATTTGGTCAAATTTTAGCCTATATGCAGATTTGGTCTTTAAGCCATCACTTTTTGAGTTAAAAGGGAAGTGAACCAGTGATTTTGAGTTTTAAACAGTTTCTGAGTTGTTTAAGAGTTTGAACACACTTAAAATCATCAAGCAAAGTGTTTGGTCACGCACGTGAGCTGTTGAATCACTTCCACTCGTTTTTGGGTTTAAAACCACCATTTCAGTCCACTTTTCTGGTGCAGAATTTCAATTTCAGCCACTATTTGGTTTTTAACTTTGCATAATTCAATTCTGGATTGGTAAAAGCTGGTTCAATGTTTAAAAATGATATTAAATGATCAAAAGAAGTATAATCCAGTGATAAAAAGCATATAGAACTTTGCAATCCAGATTAGAAGTCCAGAAATTCAAAAATTCAAAAATTCAAAATCTGAAATTCATTGGGACATTTTATCAAACACCTTTGCAAAATATCAAACAGTTTGGGTCTGGACTTGGTTTAATCTGTGATTTTGATTTCTTTGCTTTCTTAATCTGTTCAAGCACTTTTCTTAGGATCCATTTGAGTGCCTACTTCTGTTGTTAACCTATTTTTATTGCTTTTAAGCTTTTTGGCCTCTTAAATTGTCCAATTCAAGTCAAATTTTGGTGTTGAAACTGGTGCAGATTTCTAATCTGTTTGGTGACTGTTTTGGATGATTTTGATGGTGTTGTGAAGTCCTTTTGGAGCATTCAAGTTACAGAAACCTTCCCCTACCAAGGTAGCCTCTTAGGAAGTGTAGAAGGAGCAGAATTTGTGATTTCAAAGGGGCTGTCCAGCAAGCAAACTTTGCACTTTCCAGCAGCATAAAACACTGAAAATTGCCAACTCATATAGCCAAATTTTGAGAGACCAGTTCCATACCAAAGTGAATGAGAGATTGAGTGTTTAGAACCTAAAAGAAACTTGCTAGAGCACCTTAAAACAGTTCAGAAGTGAGATTTGAGTGGTTGCACCTAAAGCCAAATAGCATTGGCCGTGAGAAATACTGCATATATTCCAATGCTGAAAAGTTCAATTTCTTGAATCTGAATTGTGCTATTCAATAGGCCTATGCAGTTTTTGTTTTGCAAGGCAATGCCAATGATCAAAAAGATTTTTGAAACACCTGTTTGAACTGGTTTTTGCAATTGAAGAATTAATTTTCTCAATTGGAGCATTAGCTTTTCTTTGATATAACAGTGCAGGTCTGAAAATGAATGGTGATCTTCAAGGAGATGCAAATGAATCTATCTAAGCTGAAGTGCTACTGATTTGAAGAGAAAGTAATTGGATTAGTGCAAGGTTTTGTTTAGCGACTTTAGATTTTATTTTCTTCCTTTTGAAGCTTAATTATCATGTGTAATGCTTGGTACACCTGAGATTGAAGATCTGCAATTGAAGCATGATGGTGACATGCTATTTAATGGCTATGTTACTGCGTACAATTAGTTCATTTCAGCAGGCTTTTCTAGGAGGGAATCAGAAAAGTTTAGGCAGTATTTCTCTCATTTAGTTAACATTTCTCTATTTAATATGTTTTTAAGGCTTAAAATCATACAATATATACAAAATAAAGTAGATAAGGGAAGAAAATGTATGATAGGAAGTTCTTATATTTCTGATAAATGAAGATGTTCTTTGTATGTTTACATAAAAAGTCTAATGGCTTTGAATACGTTTTACAACTGCACCCTAAATTACACCTAGTAAAACTTGAAAACAAACCTACGTAAAAAAACTACTGCAAAAATTAATTTATTAAAGATTTTAACAGAAAATTTAAAACATGCAAAAACATAACGGATTAAATCAATATGTATGTTAAAAATATATAAATAATAATTTTTTAAAAAATATAGGAAAGACAAGCATAAAATAAGAGATCAGAGGAGTAATTAGTTTAAATCGTGAAATGGGACAATGTAAGTGGGGAAGACATGGAGGAATTTAATTTGGATATAAACCAGAAAGAAGAGAAATTTTAGGGGTAAAATTATTTAGAAATGCAAAATTAACGTTAGAGAAGTGATTTATTCCCCTAAATAATACCATGTTTAAGAAATTTCTTCAAATAAATTCGGTAAAATATAATATTCTTTCATATGGATCTATTTATTGTAGTAGTTGGAATTAAGCTTTTGGAGACTTCACTTTTCAACCGACTGTCTGTAAAAGAAAATTATTTAAAATATTGAGATTAAATTCTGTTTGTTTTAAGAGAAACAAATAAAAAAATAATAATTTAAGGGTGAATAAATTTCAATTTTGTAGTATAGTTTAGAATAAAATTTTTTATTATGTAAAAAATGAATGAAAAATGAAAAAGAATTAAAATTTTACAACATTATAATTTTTGTTATTATTATTTGTTTACATAGTTTTTATTATAATATTTTTCTTAAATAAATGATAAAAAGTTTAATTTCAAATTATATTACAAAATAAAAGTTTATTCACCTTTAAATTATTCTTTTATTAATTATAATTTAAACTCAATATTTTTAAGTTACCTTTTCAGAATTTTAATTTTAGTTTTTAATTTTTAATTTTTTTCCTTCCCAGTTTAGAAAAACAAAAATGAAATAAAATAAAATAAAAATAAAAAAATTCCTTTTGAATTTGATTTCCAAAACGTCGAATTTTGAAAAAAATTGTAACCGGATATTAAAAATTCAATTAAAAAATTCCACACTTTTAAAACTGAATTTTAAACTCCTATTTAGAAAATTATATTTTAGTACATCTATTTAAGAAGAAAATTAAAAAAATTATTTTGGAAAAAATAATCTGTGTGTTTATAAGTAAATCACTAAAATAACTATAGCAAACAAATTTTCATAAGTGTTATATATATTATTTTTATGCAATTATTATTAATTTGAGTGAACTAATATTTAAGTTGAAAACATAAACATAAGAACGTACAAACGTTGTGAAATAATTTATGGAATCCATTGACTGACACAGTAAAATGTGATTAAGATACTAGAAATTGATATAGGTATTATTAGGACCCTTTTTTTTTATGTATATTTGGAGTGAAAAGAAAAATGTATTATTGATGTTTGGTGCTACACTGAATATAAAATTAAATATAAATAAATAAATTGAGTGAAATTATTAGTTTGATTGAATTCCATCTAAATCAAATTAATTGAATTTAGTTATACTTATTTATGAAATTTGTGATTTACAAATTCTATCAATTTTAATTATAAAATAAATAAATTATGAAAATTATTTTATAATTGATTATTATGTATTATTTTAATCTTTTGGTACAGTCATATATATATATATATATATATATATATATATATATATATATATATATATATATATATATATATATAATACTTTTCTCAATAAAAAACCTTTTAAAGTGATATTAAAAGTAAATCTATAAAAACTTAATGTAGAAAGATAGTATTGTATGAATATGGAGATTTACGTGTGTTGAAGGTTGTATATAAGATTGTGAAATAATAATGTAAAAATGCATATATTATTAGCATAGAAATTAGTATATTTTGTTTAGATTAATGTTTGTGTAAAGATTAAGGTATATGTAATGTTTTTACTTGTTTGAAGGTGGTTCGAAACAAACAGTGATTCTGCACCAATCCCAAAGACAGGGCAGCATTATGTCAAATCACCTTCACACTGTTCTCTGTGCTAATTCCCTTTCCCTCCTCACTCACTCACTCTTATCTTCTTCTTTCTTTTTCTTCATCTTCTCTTCTCTTCTCTCCCACCATTCACACAACACAAGCTTTCTCTTTTCTTTCTCTCCTCACTCACTCATTCTTCTTTCACATTATCACATGTTTAGTTCAACTTTTAATGTTGCACTTCCTTTCAGCTTCCAACTAAAGAGTAACAAACACAGTTGCAGCAGCATACCTTCATGTCCTCTGCTTCCTATCCTCTGCAATCCTGTGTAAGTTCTTCCTGTGTGCCTCTCTTTCATGCCTAACAAAAGCTTTCTTTATTTTTCTGAAATTCAGTTGAGAAACCAAACTTTAGTCTTTTAGGAAAACTTTTACATGAATGTGGCTTTGCTTAGCGACTTTAGATTTTATTTTCTTCTTTTTGAAGCTTGATTATCGTGTGTAATGCCTGGTACGCCTGAGATTGAAGATCTGCAATTGAAGCATGGTGTTGGTGACATGCTATTTAATGGTTGTGTTACTGCGTAACAATTAGTCTGCTTCTGTTTCAACTTTCATTTTTGAACAATCTGAAGTTCCAAACTTGGCAGCAACCACCAATCTGTGACTTCTCGGAGGGAATCAGAAAAGTTCACGCAGTATTTGTCTCGTTTAGTTAACAGAATAGATTGTGTTTAATAGTTTGCGGCTTTTACTTACAGTCTGCCTAAAATTATGGCAACTTACTACCCATGTTCAAGTAATCAAAGGGGTGCCGTGCCTATGCTGTGTCTAAGGGAGCCTTTGCATAATTCGTATCCCGAGACACCAATTTTGCCAAGCAATATGACATTGTTGTATATGAACTCTGGTTCATATTCTGAAGCATTACCTGGAAATTCTCAGCAGCAAAGCAATTGCTTTGTGGTTCCATCACCGTCAGTGGGTGCTTCAAATTCCACAGCTGAGCAGCAAGAAATATTGGCTAATATTGGTGGATACCAAATTGGGGTTCATGATTTCAGTGCATGGAGGGAGGGTAGAAGTGAGATGTTAGTCAGACAATCTATAGATGGACATAACTTGCAGGGCCAGGGATTATCTTTAAGCCTTGGAACCCACATGCCCTCCGGAATTCAACTGCCTTCTGTCCATGATAGGAATCATTGCTCAAATCTTGATTCGTTTTTGGGTGCAAATCCATCACTTTCAGCCAACGAGATCTACCAAAATGGCTCCTCTAGACATTCTGAAACTTTTCCTCCTGTGTTACCTGAAGCTAGTCATGATTTGAACAAAGCAGATTTTTCATTTCCTGGAATTTCCAGTGTTGGAAGAACGGTTCCTACCTCCAAATATCTCAAGGCAGTGCAACAACTGCTTGATGAAGTTGTTGATATCCGACAAGCTATTAAAAGACCTGAAACGAGAAGTCACGGAACACATGAGAACTCTCCGAAGAATTCCAAGGAGGGTGGTGAGCTCCTAGAAAATGAACGGCCTTCTGCAACTGGTGTGCCAAATTCTCAAGTCTCAGCCAGCAACTCTTCTTGTGAGCTTTCACATGCTGAAAAACAAGATCTGCACAAGAAGTTAGCAAAGCTTCGGTCAATGTTGGATGAGGTAAAACCTATTTGTAAAGATTTCCTCTGTTTGGTATCTCTGATTTCTTCATTCGGATGACCATTCTTTCAGAGCATTTTGTTCATATAATTGTTGATTGTGTTCTGATGGCTGTAACCTTCCCCAAGTTGAATATTTTAAACTCCTTATCTCCAGTGCCTATGTTCATGTGTGTCAGCTTTTGTTAAATAAACACCCTAAACTGTCATAATTGAGATTGACTTTCTTTCCTTGACAGCACGATAGTCGTGTTCATGATTTCAGCAGTGGTTTAAGCACCTTAAAGTATGAAAAGGAAATATGTCAACGTGATATAAGTGCAAATTCTGGATCTACTTCCAGCTCTAGCGTGCTGCAATGGGGTGTGAAAGAAGGAATTTAAATTCTAATGTCCTTACAATTAATTATATCTTTTATGACTGATATCTATCTGATAACAAACCTCTCCTGGTATATGATGAGCATAACATGCTTGGATAGAGATAATTGTTATTTCCTCTCTTTTTTGTGTAATTTAGTACCTAAGATGATGTATCTGATACTATTTTTATTGTTAAATACATAAAGTTGACAGAAGATTCACCAAGATAAACAATGATTCTGCTCTTTCTTGCAAAAATATAGTTTAAATGGGCACCTGTTAAATGATGTAGGTTGACAGTAGGTACAAACAATATTACCAGAAGATGCAGAACGTGGTGTCATCATTTGATGTGGTAGCAGGATGTGGGGCAGCTAAACCATACACAGCCCTTGCTCTACAAACCATTTCATGCCATTTTCGGTGTTTGCGTGATTCAATCACTGGTCAAATTCGTGCAACACAAAAGAGCCTTGGGGAGCATGATGCTTCTGAAAGTAATAAAGGAGTTGGAATGGCAAGACTAAAGTATGTGGACCATCAAGTGCGACAACAGAGGGCTCTTCAGCAGCTTGGTATGATGCAGCATGCATGGAGACCGCAAAGGGGGCTTCCAGAAAGCTCTGTTTCGATTCTCCGCGCATGGCTTTTTGAGCATTTCCTTCATCCGTAAACCCTCTCATATCTATCAACCTTGATCTTCTGTTTTTTAAACTTTTGGATCCAACATCACTGTGGTTGTTTAATCTGGTTGGAATTTTCTATTTTTCACAGATACCCAAAGGATTCCGAAAAGACCATGCTAGCAAGACAGACAGGCTTAACCCGAAGTCAGGTACAAAAATAAAATACTTTTATCAACTTCATTCATTATGCTTCTTTGTGTCTCTCTTGTTGCTTGAAATTATTAATCTAAAAGAACAATAGAGGATGATTTTTTTATATATTTGAAATTTGCTTGAATTAGGTCTCAAATTGGTTCATAAATGCACGTGTGCGTCTGTGGAAGCCTATGATTGAGGATATGTACAAGCAAGATGTTTCTGATGTGGACATGGACTCAACTTCTTCATCTGAAAATGTCTCCAAGGCAACAAAAAGTGATGTCAAGATCTCCAATGATACGGTTGATGATTCACAGCACTGTCAGAGTCCAATAGTAACCGATACAAATCATGGTGGTGGACAAGCTAAGGACTTTGGATATGATCAAGTTCTTGATACAAAAATCATGGCATCCACTGGATTAGCTAGTCATGAGGTTGAAACAGAACATAGGTCAGGAAAGCAGTCTGGGGAGAAAAGGCCAAATTTGGATAATTGTGGTCTCTTCTCTGATAACATGATTGTTCAATCTGATAGAGCTACTAATGATGACAGGTTTATAGCAGTTGGTTCAACGTGCCAAATGTCAGAGTTTGAGAGCTTCAAGTCAGGAAGTGGAGTGTCTCTAACTTTGGGTTTACAGCATTGTGAAGGAGGTAATTTTTTGCCTGGTGAGACCCATCTCAATTTGGTTTCCATGAAGGAAAATGGCATCTACCGCAGTGCAGGTGCAGCTTCTACAGTTGGAGTACATACAGCAGAACTTGAGCACGTTGGTACTGGAAACCAACGACAGAGGTTCAGTTCACCTCAAATGTTACATGATTTTGTTGTGTGATGATAATCTGTTTAGACCATTCTGTGAATGGCAAGTGCTGATATTGGGACCAGTTTGCAGACAACGAGTCACAAAAGGAACGCAGTGGTCCCTCAAGGGATGATAGGACTGACAAAAACAGATGTATGATATCCTGAAATTTATTGGGAAGATCTATAACTTATGATTAATGTGTAGGAAACATGAATATTAGGCCTGTTTATGCAATGAAGAAATTAAGAAACATATGACAATGGTAATAATAAATGGATTGTCTGACTGTTGTACTAATGTTGCAATTTAGCTAATCTAACATCATCAACAAGAATAAAAAGGCCTTTATCCATCAGGTTGGGTCAGTAACTTGGATTATCAGACACCATGAATTTTTGTTGTGTATTAAGAATAGAAATAGACCATTTATCATTAAACCTTTCTTAATGGTTTGACTTATTAATTTTTCTCAGTCTGATTCTACCTTCTACTATTATACTCTGCAATCTGAATGAATTATGGGAATTCGTAGAATTCTCAAAGCAAAATTGTTCCTCATGCAATGGTTTCTTTATAACAGAGAAAGATAATTGAAGGAATTGGAATTGCTGCTATTACAGAAGCTCCATCCTTAGAAGGTTAGAACTGATACATGGAACATGAAGGTTTAACATATTAGCTAAGTTTTATAGTGAAATAACGGATTTGATAGGTATAAAGAATTAATCCTTGCCGTCTTTGTTCTTGAGATAAAAACTTGATTGTTATTTTATACTTTTGAATTACGATTATACGATTTTTAGTTTCTAAATTTTTACAGAATCGATTAGTTTAGTCTCTCATGTTTTTAAAGAGTCAATCTGTATCTTTACAATTAAATGTCTGGATAGAAAAGAATGAACTGAAGATGAATTTTGCCATTGAGTTAAAAAGTCAAGAAACTTAATTGGCTTAAAAAGACAATCATAGTTGCACATGACATAAATTAAAGAACGTAGAAGTCCAGTTCACATCAAAATATAAATCAGGGTAACTAATGTACAGACAAGTCTTATTGCAAGACATACCTACATATAAAAAAAAAAACACACACACACACACACACACATATATATATATATATATATATATATATATATATATATATATATATATATTATTGCATGTTGATAACATGACAATATGTGAAGAAAGAAGGTGTTTATATTTGAATTGCTGCAGCAATAGCAAGGAAAAAGAATGAGGAAAAACTGGATAATAGATTGTTATTTGAATTTTCTGGAGAGATACAGCAAAAACCACATTCAAGCGTGAACAGTTTGGCTTGAATTATAAAGTAAAATGAATGAAATCAATATATACATAGGGGCATAGGAAGGTAGCATATGGAATGAGTTTGAGCTACAAAATTGGAAGTAGGAGTAAATAAAATGCTAAACGTTGACGTATGGAGTGGTTAATTGAGTGCAACTTGGTGCCCTTCGGCAAGGATATGGAGCAAGGTTGAGCAGTTCCTTCCTCTGAGAACGTTTCTTCCTTTTCTTTGCATCAGAGTGTTCTGGTTTCTTCAAATCCTCCACAGAGTGTACATCTTCCATGCAAACAAATGATCTTGATTTACCAGAGTAATACCTAGACAATCCTCTCCTGTTCATGCATGCAATCAAATTTTCAAACACAGAAAACACATTAATTAATATATATTCTTCAGAAACACCTCTTACTATTACTTTTGTGGAAAGCTGGTTCCAAGAGAGCCCATGTTCATTATCAAATTGTCAATTTCTTGGTCCATATTCACGAGAGGCAATGGAAGATGAAAATGCTCTGAGAAGCTCAATTCTTAGGAAAAGAGTTTGCTTTGGGGTTGAATAAATATTGTACATTTTTTAAGCAAAGGATGTAAAAATTACCAATCTTTTCTACACTTCCTCCTGATCATTCAAGATGCTACTATTTTTGCCTGAAATGCATGTTTTTTAAGCTTAATCTACCCTCTTTTTCTCTTCATTTCTGATTTTAGAATGTTACTGCAACAATGGAAAATGGCTAAGAAGAGGAGGCTGCCACAACCATCCATTTCAGAGACCAAACAAAGCTTTGCCAATACTCACCTCACTCATCTACAATTTTTCTTTCACATCACCAATCAAAGCATAGGTAATTCCGATGTGTTACTAAACTTTTCATAATAACTATGTCTCACTGTTTTATAACTACGTATGAAACTAACACTAATCACAAGCCACACATGAACATTGTAAAAAGGTTGTAAGAACAAAAGTGGTTAAAAAAACATTTTCTTTTTCTTTTACATAATTAAAATATGGACAATGATATGTTACCAACTTCTCTTAACAAACTTTAGACAATAAATTATGTGTCATTATTTTATTGATATAAATAAATAAATAATAGACTATCACATAAATTATTGTAAAAAATTATTAAAAGAAATTGTTGAAAAAACATTTTCCTCAAAATATTTAGTAAACAATAATATTTTTAAATATATAATTAAATCATAATTAAAATTTATATATAACAAATAAATATTCTTACAATATAAATTGTACTTTATAATATTTAATAATGTTAAATAAGCATATTTTCCCTGAGTAATGAAAATAACAAAAAATAAATATAATATTTCATCATGAAAGGAAATGAAAAAGAGAAGAAAAGAAAACATTTATTATTTGAATGTAACTTTCTTGGTGTAAGAAGAAGCGAAGTTCTTTAAATATGATTCCAAATTCTTTTTGCGAAGATGAAAGAGTAACACAGAAGAAAGAGTTGGTCAGTTAATGGGTTGTTGGTTGTTGCTGTAACTTCGAGATGTCGGAGGTGACAGATGAAACTGAACGACGTCGTTCGGCGGAGACTCGGTATCGCAAAAAGCTTTTCCTTCTCAGAGCTATGGGAAGCGTAAGAGGATTAGGTCGCCGACCAATCCTGTTTCTTTTCTTTATCTTTTTTCACCTTCAAGTTTATGCAGTTTCAAATCTTTTTCATTCTTTTGATGTTGTTTGGACGACTGGAATTGCGTTGTACTCAGTGAGATTGTTGGAGGAGGCTTTAAAGAGCAGTCTTGCGAAAACTGAGCAAGACCTCAGGTACTTGGAAGGTGCTGCTTTTTGGGTTGGTCGTGTTGTAAGGCCTAATGGCAGTGAACGCTGTAAGCATATACTCATGCATGCATGCATGCATACATATAACTTCTTTTCTACGTTCAAGATTCAGCAAATAGCTTATTATTTAATGTTATAACTTGTTTGGGGGATTGGTTAGAGATGAATTAAGCAATGCAAGCTTTTTTACTCCTTTCAGTTATTGTAGAATCAGAAGTTGGATTTAGATATATAGTTGACTATGATAGGAAGGTGGACAAGAAGAAGATAACTGAAGAAACAAGAGTTTTCCTGCACAAGAGGACGCTGACCATAATGGGAATTCTTCCTCGCCAAGTATACATTTCCATAAGCCATTATTCTTGGATTAGATAGTTTATTGTGCTGGGATCGTTACTATTTTACAATATTTTGACATTAATATGCATGCATATGTTATTGAGCATGTGCCAGGTTGAAGCTGAGGTACAGAATATGATTGTTGAAGACCTGGGAAAAGTTAGTTACGCTGCACTTGGAGGGCTTTCTGATCAGATTCGAGAGCTCAGGGAATCGATAGAACTGCCTATGGTGAATCCTGATTTTTCAAAAGGTTGGAATCAGAACCCCGAAGGTATGTTCACTATATGGATGTTTAATTTTGGGAAGATTTTATATTGAACAAATTAAGATTCATGTTATGTTAAAAGGGAAAAAACTACTGATAATGTTTCTCACATACAACGCAGGGTGTTCTTCTTTATGGACCTCCTGGAACTGGGAAGACACTCTTAGCGAGAGCAATAGCCAGCAATACAGATGCTAAATTCTTGAATGTTCAATACCTGTATTCTGTTATCTGTGATTTTTACCTAGTGCTTAATGGGGTACTCCATAAAAGAAGTGTACTTTCTTTTTTTTATTCTAGATTGTAGGTAGTGCTTTTTCGGTTAAATATCTTGGTGAAGGCTCAAGATTGATTAGGAACATGTTTAGATATGCACGCGATCATCAGGTATTGGAAACTTGCATTGCTTAAAAATGACCTTTTTTTTTTCATGCTCATCTGAAATTTGATTTTTACTGTTTGCATCCTTTTGTTTAGCCTTGCATCATATTCATGGATGAGATCGACGCCATTGGAGCACGACGTTTGAGCATGAGCTCAGCCGCTGATCGTGAAATTCAAAGAACCCTCATGGAGCTGCTTGACCAGATGGATGGATTTAATCAGCTAGAAAGGGTGAAAGTCATTATGGCTACAAATAGGCGTGATATTCTTGATCCAGCCCTTCTTCGCCCGGGTCGACTTGATTGGCAAATAGAAATACCATTACCAAATAAGAAGTCAAGGATGCAAATCCTCAAAATCCACGCTGCTGGAGTTGCAAAACAGGGCAAAATTGACTATAAAGCAGTTGTTAATATTTCTGAGGTATATATATAATAGAAGTGATACCTGTGCATGCATGCATATTGAAAGTGTTATTTTGCTTTCTTTTCCTAATGGTTTTGTTTGACTTCAGGGATTCAATGGTGCTGATCTTCGTAATGTTTGCACTGAAGCTGGTATGTTCGCTATTCGCGAAGACCGTGATTATGCAATTAATATAGATTTCATGAAGGTGAAGTGTTTATAGTTGACAACGGAATGTAAATTTTGACTCACATTTATAATAAACACTTAATGCTTTTGATTTTGTGATCCCTCAGGCTGTGCGCAAACCGGTTGAAGCAAAGAAACTGGAATCGAGCAGCCATTAAAATCAAATTGTTGTTAGCACTCAGCACGGATGTTTTTCTGATGTCTGCTCAGTTCGCCACTAAATTGTCCAGCCCATTGTGTTCAGTGATAAAACATGAATTTGATAATGGTTTCCTTTGACAGCATCATTAACTTACAGAAACTTACCATATTACCTTAACCCCTTGAACAAGTTAGAAAACGAGTGGAACACGTGAATTTCTTTAATTTTGAAACAGTTCAAATTCTAGTTTTCAAATTTGTTTATATGTCGATTTTTGAACTTGTTTATCAGGTTTTAAGAGTTCATGAATCCATCCAACTGAGATAGAGATTAATTTCAGCAAGAGATTCAAGATTCCAAGTACACAGTTTTCAACTTAGATAAATGCCGAATAATAATACATAAACATCTGAACCAAAGACGCTATTTCTAGAGAAGATTATTCATATCGAAGGTTAATTCAAGCTATCACTTCCATTGCAATGAATCAAGAGCCTGTTGATGAATCTGTTTGTCACCCGCAGCCACAACATCAAAACCTGCCACGTGATATTGTACAAGTCATAAAAATTTCGTAGGTTTTGGCAGAAGACCAAGAAAAGCCATTAAGAATGATATTAAAATTAGACGAAAGGATATACTTGTCGCGATTGAAAATGGAGAAGCTTCCCATAACAGTTTATCTCCTTTCCAATCAGTTATGACACCTCCAGCACCTTCAATAACGGGTACTAGTGCAAGAAAATCGTACGGCTGAAATTTAAAATTTAACAAACAAATATTGTTTTAACCATCTTGGGATCTTTATCTACATGGGTCAAAAGTTAAATATGCAACCAAAGATGAGTGTGCAGCATACCTTCAAACCAGACTCAACAACAAGATCCACAAAACCAGAAGACAAAAGAGCATATGCATAGCAGTCACAGCCGTATAATGGAATTTTAACCTGTAAATGAGCAAAAAGGAATAACTGAACGACAATAATATTTTGGAAAACAGAAAATTTTCATTTTGGCAATACTGCTTGATGTAGTCTTAGAAAAGTTAGATGCTAACGTACATAGAGACATAACAAAGCGGAAGACAGGCAACGTAAGATTTTTAACAGAGTCAGAAATGTAAAAAGTACATGTTATTCTGGTGTCTTATATTCACATTTTCTGTGATACTTGAGTAGTTCAGAAGGCTGACTTTGAAATGATGAAAAAGGTGTTGCAAATAATATGTATAGGTTTTAAAAGTAAATTAGAGGTTGGTTTCAGCAACAATACAATAACAGATTTTTTACGAGACAAGTGGATTAATGTGAACAAACCCTGTTTATTTTGAGCTTGTGATCAATGCTTCAGTTGGAAACTAAACAACCTTAAAAGATTGGGAAAAAAAACAGGCCTCAAACAAAATATTCTGACTAAATATTTCATCTTTTTATGATAATATGTGGAGTCCCTATATTTTAAAAAATGTAACAAACCTTGCTTCTAACACGGATGAATGCCTCTTCTGCATCTCCACTGAACAGATGTGGGCTTGTGGTGTACCTATATAGGGAAGAAATGAAATTAGATTTGATGCCTGCTTTGTAGACCTATGCTAACCGTGTCTAGAGTTGCAAATAATGAAAAAGAATGTAAACTACTCTTCTAACAAGCTTGTTTTCTCTCTTCCAATAAAGATCAGGAAACAATTCATAATAAAGTTTGTTAAGGAAAAATAAGAAAAGTATACAAGTATGCTTGAGAAAGGTCTGCACAAGTGCGGGTAGATATTTCTTGTCCATTCAGTGTAGTTCTCTTTCCACTTATCCCGATCCACCTCTCTTTTAACACAGGTTGATCAATTATGCCAAGGATCTATCGAAAAGGAAACCAAACTCAACAACATAAAGTTTATTACTTGATTAACTGAATGATATCAATTTCAATTTCATCTGCACTTTGTCTACAATATCACTATGTTGGTAAAAATACAGGTATCACTTGCAATCAGGTAAGTTGTATAAGTTAACAGCAAAAAAGAAATCGATTGATGTTGACATTTTGCATCATTTTATTTTCATATTGTAATGGATAAAGAGAAAAGACTCCGTTTTGTTTAAAATATTTAACAAAACAAGATGATTGAACATCCAGTTTTTCTTCATTCTAAAGTCAGAAAGTTACAATAATTCAAGATGATTCAAGGAAAATAAAGTGTGAATGGGTCTGATAAGCATTGAAGTTGTAAGAGACCCTTACTGGTATTCCATTTTGTAGAAGAGCAATGAGAGTACCAAATACGGGTTTCCCTAAAATGGAGACAAAACAAACAGAGCCAAAGTGAAATTTGGGAACTCTCACCCAATAATAATTATAAAACCACGAAAGAAAATTACCAGTAATAAAACTCTTTGTCCCATCTATGGGATCTAATACCCAAACGTAATCAGCAGTCTTTTCTTTACACCTCCACCCATTTTCCTCTCCATAACTGCAATTCAGTCAAAAAATCATGGTTGAGCTTCAGTCCACCTATTGCATTTACGGACTATTCAATGGATGCGGCTGGCTGATAACTCATGCACTTAGGCACCGGGAAACAGAAGCATTATACATTACTCTCCTGTTTAGTTGTTTTAGTTGTAAGTTAAATTGCATAATCACAATACAAATTTATCGATCTAAAGGCCAGAATTATGGAGCATTGACAAACTCAAGTTTTCTAATAGTAAAATCCCCTGACTCATTTCAATGGGGGTAATTCTTTCAGGCTAGTAGCAAATACTTTAATTCAATGAATTTAGCGTTTCAGTTTTTGAATTACAACGAACTGAATGACATGCAATGTAACTACAACACTCAACCCAACAATGCTCCCATTCTCTTCACTTCATTTTCTTCTAAGAAAAATTGTTTAGTCTCTGTACTTGTGGTACTTCTTTAAAAACGCGATGAATTCCTAGAGAAAAGAGACTAAAGCCACATGCTTTGGAGTACCAAATTAATCAATACGAAAGTATATGATCCTTGATCACATTTGACCAAAAGTATAGCAACTAAAAACACATTTTCAACGAAAATGGAATCCACACAATTAGTTGGCAACAGCAAGAAAATGATAAGATTAAATAATTACATTGCATGAGAAGGGAAATTGTCAAGTATAATTGAAACCATAGCCTCCTCAGCCGATCGATCTGCAATGGTTACTGGACCTGCAACATCAAGTAAAAGCGCAAAACATAAGCATTCAAATAAAAGAAAATAAAAAACACTTTAAAAGTGAAAGGGACAAAAAAGAAAAGAAGAAGTAACTGACTGAGATCATGTTTGTGAAGAACATCGAAGTTCTTCCTAAAGTATTTGCGGATAACTTCTCCTGCAGCATCTGCAACAGCGTTACCGACCTCGGCGAAGCGATTAAGCTGAAGAGGCGTGGTGTGAGGCGTCATGGCTCTGAGACGGAAGGTTGGGGAGAGAGAAGAATTGGGTATTGGGGAGTGAGAGTGAGAGAGAAAATGGCACTGTGAGAACATTGCTCTGCAATTAACAACCAAAAATCAATCTCGAACTCACTCAATCTCCCCTCTCATACCGAAACTATGAGAAACAAACGAGGGTTCTTTAATCTCGCTGTTCATTCAAAATCAAAACGTCGCCGTTTCACTTATTTATCCGTTTTCTTCTATTAGATATTTAAATATCTTTTTCTCGAGATAATTAAATAAATTTTAGTGCAAACAAATATTTAAGAGTTATATTCCCGTCTTTTGTAACTGTGATATTTTTATTTTTTTGAGAAATATATTGTGTGGAGATTGAAACTTTAAGAAATGTTTTTTCTTTACATTCTCAAGTTATTTTATTGTGAAGTTATCAAAACAGGATAACCCTTAAAAAAATTAAATTTGGACAAGTTGTATCCAATTGACAGTTCTCACGGTTTCATCTTATAATACGAAATCATATTGTATTTTTAAAATATGATAACTTCAACTTTTTTATTAAAAACATATTTTTAAAGTGACTCCTGTATGGAAATATCAACTTTTTTATTAAAATATTAACGAACATAACAATAATAATACCACATCATCAAAAATAAAAATTTGTGGAATCTCGAAACTTGTCCATGTCAATAATAATACAGCATTTTAAAACTGAAGGTACATCCTCACGTACACGATTTAAAAGATAGTCACGTCACATAATACAAAGCATATAACATAACAACCACGTACTTAATTAATTAATTATTAATCACTCACATTACACAATACAAACCTATAATAACAACTAGTTAAATAATTAATTAATTATTAATCACTACCCAAAGTATATCAGAACACATAGACCCACAGAGAGATTTTCAGCGGTTGTGGTGCCCAGGCAATTTTTCTTTGATCTTCTCCATTATGCCCTTCTTGTGATGCTCAGGGTGGTTAGGGTTAGGATCTGGATTAGTGGCGGTTGGCCGTGTTGGTTGTGGAATACCAGTAGCAGCGGTGGTGGTGGTAGTGGTGGTTGTTGGTGAATGCTGCTCATTCTTCCTCCCTGGAAGCTTCTCTTTTATTTTATCCTTCACTCCCTTCTTCCTCCTCCCACCTTGTCCATCATCCTCAGACTACAAATGCATACACGTTACAAGTTTAGATTCAACAATCTGTATAAACTTATACAATGATTAAAGGAGAGAAGAAAAAAAAACGATAGGCGCGTACCGAGCTAGAGCTAGAACTGGAGGAACGACGAAACTCTCTATTGTCCCTTGGTTGTGTTGTTATGAGATCCGACACGGTGGTTATTCCTGTGGTTGCACCAGGACCACCGTGGATCCCAAACCCTGAACCTGCAGTGACGGCGGGCGTAGCAGTGGTTGCACCAGGACCACCGTGGATCCCAAATCCTGAACCTGCAGTGATGGCGGGCGTAGCAGTGGTTGCACCAGGACCACCGTGGATCCCAAACCCTGAACCTGCACTGACGGCGGGCGTAGAAGTGGTTGCGACTCCGGTGACGTAAACGGGGTTGCCGTGCTCGTCGGTTAATACAACAGGGTTACCGTGCTGATCGGTGAGTGAGATAGGATTGCCGTACTGATCTCGAAGTTGTGCTTCAGCCATTTCAATTTCCTTCAATTTCTCACTTTCCTCTTCTTCAACTTCTACGTAAGATACCTTCTCTGCATTCTGTGCGCCTAATTATATAACCTCATCTGCATGGCGGTGAATACATGCATGTAATTTCACACGTGGCCTGACAATGCGCTGACATCTCACAAATATTGCCACGTGAGACGAATAAGGACAGGTGTCCCTTCATTTTTAGGGTTACGTATACCAAAATATTATACAAATAAAGTTCTCAAATATCATTATTCTAATGTTGAATGTGCAACTTTCACGACTGAAAAAGTTACTCAAAACTTATGTAAGAAATAAACAAGAATTTGTCAATTATTTATGTAAATATTGTTCTCGTTTGTAGTGGTTTTTATTTTTAAATTATTAATGTTATATTTTATATTCTTGTTCAACAGTTTTGACAATAGTAATTTACTGCAAGTAATAGAATACGATAAAAGTATTTTGTTCCCCATGTAACATATCTTTAACAGAGATTACCTTTAATGTTAATAAAATAAAACTGTAGTTCTGAAATCAAAATAATATTCAATTTTAAAGAGAAATAAGTAAAAAGAAATGAAAATTTTATTTAAAAACTGTTTTTAATTTCTAATGTCGAGTATGTAACCTTCACGTGAAGGTATAAACATCTAATGGTACCGTTATTTAGAGTAAGTTGAGTACGTATAGAAATTAGATGTTTATACCTTCACGTGATAGATTGCAGGGAATCTAATGAATTATTTGGGTGAGACATAGGGAAAACGGTACTAATAAACTCTAAATAACTTGACCTTAAATGTAAAACGTAATAAATTTATGATTTTTTTTTATGTATATTCTTCTTCTTGTCATTTTACTGTTTGGAACTCCGTCTCGTATTTTGCCTCAAAACAGAATATTCCGATAATTTCTAAAATACATCAGTAATCTAACAAGAAATTCATACAACTGTCGTCAGAAATTAATGGGATGATGTGATGAACAGTGGAGCCTGTTTGGCATTTGATGAACGAATTGCAAGGATATTATTGTGAGAGTTCAGGTCGGGACCATATTGATCTTCTGATTATGATTTGTGGCAAATAATGTCTATTATGCTATTGTGCTAACTTATCTCATAAATGCGCTCTCTGTGACTGGTATTTATGAGTTACGAGTTGGTGACTCAAAAGAACAGTTAAATAACTGTTCTATTCTGTTCTGTTCGAGGAATGCATATGATGGTTTTAATTCATGTAGTACTGCACCCTAGTATTATTAAGCTTGTCTCATTCATGTTTCCGTTTTGTACCTTTCACCTTGTAGGCTTATATTAATTTTCTCAAGCCAACACTGGTATTTTAAGGATTATGCTGATACAGGACATTTAAGATAATATTCGAAAAACATTTATTTTTTTTATTTATAGTTTTATATTATCAATCAACTCAAGATATGGAAGTCATATTTAAGTTAATTGGTTAAGAGAAAAAAAATCTTATAAGTTATAATAATAAATAAAAATTAAACTTTAAACAACATTATCTCAAACTTTTAGATTAACGGATAAGCGGTGGGGGATCCTCCACAAGACAAATAAAAAGAAAAAGAAAAGTATCACACCTAACCTTCAATTCGCAGAACATGAAATAAATGAAACGCAGAACTCCAGTCGCAACTAAAATTAACAATTTTAAGACTGCATGATTCAACGTTCAATCAAGAAGCAACGCAACTCCTTTCACCATGAAGCACCCAACTCACTGATCTATGCATATAATTCAATTTGCCACCGACAAAAAACCATTAACTGGACAGGATGCTATGCTGAAACGTTCTTTCATTAAAGCCAAAACATCAGAATAATGTATACATACGATTCGATTCGCTAACTACAAAAAGCACTAATTCGATAATAGGCTATCCTGAAACTGCTCTTTCATTAAAAGCAACCAACTAAGGACGATCCAGCTATTTAGTATTGCCTATCAATCTGTGAAAATCATTGCCCAACTTCAGAAACGCCGAAGGGCTAATGTTTAGCATACATATAAGCAGAACCATGGACAACAGAACATCATTTGGATATAAGAATTATATCCATGCAATAAACAAATCAACCTGTACACAATGCAGAAAGACCCTTGGTCTCCAAACACTATTTTTTACGTTTGTATGTTTCATCTTCCTCTGATACTTCTGTATGTCTTGTTACAGATTAGTGGATACAGACGCAATCCCAGAGCATGAATTGCATCTTGTTCTTTTCCAAACCTTTAGAGGATGCACAGATGATCAACAGTGGAACCTGCTATAAAGAAAGTGAAAAAAAAAAAGAAAAAAAAAAGTGTCAAGTACAAAAGAATTATTTAAGATTTCCAGTGTACCGTGCAGAAGAACCCACATTTCTTCATTACAATGCATGACATAAGCTAAAGATGCTACTGATAAACATACGCATGCAGTAGATAAACATACACACAAGAAAAGAAAAATAAAGCCACTGACCTCCCAACAACCAAGAAGCACCTTATTCCTTGCTAGATTTGGCCCAAAAGAAACCCTTCTTTCTTGTAGGGTGATTATCTAACATGGATCTGGGACCCTTTGATCCAAAGGAGAAGTGTCGCCGCAAAAAAGGTTTCCCAAAGGAGCTTCTCTTGCTGGAACTGGAGTCATTCCTAGGACATTTACCTTTAAAGCCATCAAACACAACAGAATCATCGTCAATATCACTGTCCACAATCCGATTCTTTGATTTATTGTTTCTAGCCTTCAAATCCATTTCAGCTTTCAGGGCCTTTGCAGACAACTTCATAGTTTGTTTTTCACCGAAAGTACAAACTGGACAAGCTGGATCATACTTATTGATATCAGATGTCATTCTCTCCAAACATTCAGCGTGATAGACATGTCCGCAGATAAGTACAGAAACTACAGAAAGATCATTACTCGCAATTATCTTTTGAGTGCTCCAAGAAGACTTCTCCGCTAAAAGTTTAGAGCAAATTCCACATGATTGCAAATCAACTGATGAAGCTGAAAACCAACTACTGGATCTAACTAATCTTTCGCGGTTAAAACCAAAGGACTCACTATCAAATGACCACCTTTCTTTGTGAGGAGTTCCCATCAGCTCAGAAAAACCAGGTATAGACCAACCATCTGAAGATCCACCGTGGGAGCGCATACCCACGTCATTGTTCCATGAAGGAAATACTGGCCTTTCTTCAGACAGAGAGAAGCTGCTCGATGACTTGACTGCTGGAATTCGGCTATCAGAAGCTTGCTGTGATAACTGGTATCCTGGGGAATGGCAGGGCCAGCTTCCAGGTGTCAAGTTTGATGGAGGTATGTGACATTGGGATACTAGAGGAGATGTTGATAGAGATGTTGAAGGCAGTGATGGTTTTGTGGGAGATGGACAAGATATTGTTGATGATTCCACCAGCCCATTCACCTACAGTGTGATTCATCGTTAGGAAGTGCTACAAAGAAGTCACATACCAAATATGTGAGTGCGTGTGTGTGGTTGTGGTGTTGGTGGGAAGCCCATATATAGTAAAAGGGTCATATTTTAATGAGTGAAAGAGTAAGTCGAAAAGCATACAGATATACAAGGATGGGTGACTTGTAAAAAAACTGACAACATGCATTTTCATCTTGATCGTTGATGATAAAATCTAATGTCAATATTCATTTTTTTTAACTGATAGAAAAAAGGTATTCTCACTAAATACACCCCCCTTAAACACACATTCATTAATATAACCTCACCTGTTCCACACTCATATCCGTAGAAACAGTCCCCGAAAAAGATTGGTCTGCAATAATCACAAATAACCTTGTCAGACAGTGTGGAAGAACCAAATGACAGAATAATAGTAAACCATTGGATTAGTTAAATTTAAAGTGTGGTTATGATATTTTCATAAGATTCAAAATAAGCAATACAAAACCACCTTATCCATCATACTTAATTTTCTTAGTTGCCTAAATTATATTCCCGGGTTCTATAGGAGATGTCCTAATTAAAATTCACCTACCCTATATAAATGACCAAAAAACTTCAATGTCCTGAACTAAAAGCTAAATTGGTTAAGTCTGGGGTTAAGAATTCTTTCCTGATTTGATTTCCATTCAGTATAACTACTTGAAGATATAAAATTCATGACAAAGGAACTTTTCCCGTCTTTAACTTTGTTTTGTAGAACCTCGGAAGAAATAGAAAAAATATATTTATTACAAAATATAGATAACTTTCAAGGATGATCTCCAGTGTTTCCTGAGCCAAAGAGATTGACCACAAATGATTGAATAGCCCACCTTGAATTTTTGTAGGGAGCACAAGCACGGATACAGTAAGAATTTTTCAATATTACGAAACTCAGCATGTTTGACCTCCAATTATTTTAATGAAAAAGGGTTGTTAAAAATGAATTCATTCTTTTTCATGCTTCAGTCATTCGCTTTTATTTTTCTACAAACTATCACCAACACTTCCAATCTGAAAAAAAAAAAAAGGATCATCCAGATAAATCTAAAACTGTTTGAAAATCTGGTTTCTGAATCTCAAAAGCTGGAAGTCTGTAACTAAATTAATCTCATACAAGTTTCAGAATAAACAAAGATGATGCTCTTCCATTTATCGTCTTTTCACTTTTCGATTCCCTTCTGGATTATTGTGTGCATGGTTTAACTTTAAACATTGATTAGCACTGACAAATTTAAATTCCTAGCCGTTCATGTCTCTTATTATGAGATTAACGCTGCCATCAAATTTAAATAACCATGTAATCTAACCCCTCTATTTTTGCTACAGCAACGATGTGAAAAATAAATAAAAAACAGCTGATAGTTCTGTGGTTTCTGCTCTTACTTTGCGATGTTAGTTTCTGTCATCTCATTCACTGACCCATAAATTTGAGCCTTTACAGAAATATCCATTTAAGAAATAATTTTCAATTTGTCCTCACATCTGATTGCTTTGGACACAAAAATACGTGAGAATACATTGTTTCAGATATGTAGTAAAATTTCATATCTCTCACACGTCTCGATCATTATAGGTGTAGAATGAACT